CCCGCAACCGCGCGCCGAGCTAGTCTCGACTTCGACTCTACATTCACCCCTCCCTCTCCCTTCAAATCGATCTACGAACCGACGTCGCACTCGCCACGTTAACGGATTCGGTGATCCCAAGGTGGCCTCGGAGGATAATTTTCGCCCAATTGCAAATTCGGCGGCGCAATTTACAACACAACGTGCCTGGCCTGGGTGTGGGGAACGAACCGATCGAAGCTCCCACGATCCGCCCGGAATACTCGAACACACAGCCGTTGATTTGCTGTCTCACCCTGGTTTTAAGCTCGGACAAGGGTATATCCTTTTGGTAGGGCAACCCCCTTTATGTCTCCCAGCGCGATCGCGGTCATCTCCTAGCCGGGTCTGAATGTCTCTGAGTGCGAGCTGGAGCTGCGGCCGCGCATTCCCGTCGCATCCCTGATTCAGATCAACTCAACTCGACTCCACTCGACTCGGCGCCGGCATCACCTCCTGTTTTACAATCCCTTGTTCTTCAGCTTTCGTTGATAATCGTTGTACTAACCCGACCATTCTTATCTAGTTCCTGAACCATGGGCTGCATTAATTCTAAGCCGGCAGAGTCGGATAGAGAGGCTTTCCAGCAAAATGCTCGCATTGACCGGACCCTCAAAAATGACAAGAAGACGATGGATCGTACGATCAAGATATTGCTACTTGGTAAGTGATATATGGCGGTCGACAATACCTACCATGCGGCAAAAGCGGTTGCGCTGACAAGAGAGCCAGGTGCTGGAGAGTCTGGAAAGTCGACCATTATCAAGCAGATGCGCATCATTCACAGCCGAGGCTTCCCGGAGGAGGAGCGTCACCAAACGCGAGCCGTCATCTACTCCAATATTGTAATCGCGTTTAAGGTCCTTTTGGATATCATGAATTCTGAAAACATTAAGTTCGACAGCGATGACACAAAGGTATTCTATATCCCACATGTGCTATTCATTTTCTTTATGCAGTTTACTCACAACTATTGATAGTCATTGGCGGATCTACTGGATAGTACAGAAGCGGATGTAGGATCAGATGAAGCTTTCTCTAATCTGAAGATTCGAGATGCTATGAGAGGAATGTGGAGAGACTCCGGAGTGCAGAAAGCAGTTGCACGTGGACATGAATTCGCGCTGCATGACAACTTGGTCTAGTAAGTTGTCTCCGAAGCACCCACCACAACGGCGAGATACTAATAAATATCCCTAGCTTCTATGAGTCCTTGGACCGAATCTTCACCCCGGGATGGCTTCCCGACAATCAGGATATGCTGCAAGCCCGACTTCGGACAACGGGGATTACAGAAACTTTGTTTGAACTTGGACAGATGAACTTCCGCATGATGGACGTGGGCGGACAACGGTCGGAGCGAAAGAAGTGGATCCATTGCTTTGAAGGCGTTCAGTGTCTTCTTTTCATGGTGGCTCTTTCCGGTTATGACCAATGTCTAGTTGAGGACCAAAATGCTGTATGTCATACCTTTCCTGAGCCGTATTCACCTACCGCAGCTGCTAATTTTCACTCGCAGAACCAAATGCACGAGGCCATGATGCTGTTTGAGTCACTTGTCAATGGCGAGTGGTTCAAGCGCAAGCCCATCATTCTCTTCTTAAACAAGATGGATTTGTTCAAAGACAAACTAGCCATCTCCTCGATCTCAAAACATTTCCCTGACTACACGGGTCCCGACACCGACTTCGAAGCCGCCTACCGATACTTTTCCGAACGATTCCGCGGAATCAACCGGATTCCTGACCGTGAAATCTACATTCATAAGACCAACGCTACCGATACTCAGCTATTGAAGGTCACCATGGACTCTGTCCAGGATATGATCATTCAGAAGAACCTCCACACTCTCATACTATAAGGCCCCAATCTCCACGCCCTCGGTGGCCTTCATGATAACGCCATTGTTTGCCACGAAGTCGATTCCTTCCTTTCAGTCGAGCTTTCTAGCCTACCCTTTTCTGTGTTGCATTCTCCGGCGGCTCCATTTTTACTTCTGGCCCCCGCAATCTTGTCATACCATATCTTTCTTTTTCCATTCTTTACTTTCACGAGGCGTCTTGATAGAGGAGTAGCTGGCTTTCTGCTACATCCTTGGGTCTGTTACGTTGCATTCAAAAGCCCATTCGATTTCGTTAGCTCATGCCACGCTTCGATTTCCAGCGACGGTACTATTTCTTTCTTCTCTCTGTACTCGACCCCACGGGATGATACCATTTGTTTTGTCTCTGCGGATTTGATTTATCTAATGATGCGTCTGTATTATCACATTTTCCTTCCATTTTCTTTACCTTGGAATGACTTATCAAGTCTATACTTGTATCTCCTTACTGGTATGGTCGGCTTGGTGATTTACTGTACTACACACTTTACGCTCTCCTACTCTAGTTCGTTGAATCAACTCCTACCACTGCATATATTTGTGACTACCGTTTTTCCAAAATAAATTTTATACGTAATCTCTTCCATGGACCATTGTAATGATATTACCATCATTGTCTCTTCTAACATTGTCAAGATGAAGGAAATGCTGATCAAGCGTTCCGCACGTGGTGACTCTGAATGCCTCAGGTGTCTAGATTACATAAGATCCGCATGATTAGAGACGCCGACTTCCGACCCGACGATTTCGCCTCCGATTCAGACTCACCGTCACTGTCTTCCCAGTTGCTGGGTCTCACGTCAATCATGTTGTCGACATCATTAAGTCGGGCTGCTTGGACGCCTTTGTCTGGCATAGCTCGTTCCGCCCAAACTGTGCCCTCAGCCGGTCTCCTTGGTGCCACCCGCCGAGTGCACCAGCGCCGCTACTCTTCGTCTTCCTCCAAACCTCCAGTTCCGCCCAGCGATGGGCCTCGGCGCATGGACACCTCCACTCCGGCGAAGAATGTGAACTCTTCTGGTGAGAAAAGCAAGGTTTCCCGCCGCCGTGGAAAGGAAAACGGCGCTCGCAACGCCTCGAAGAACGGCCAGCAGGATGCGGCATTTTCGAACCTTCCGAGCGTCCCTTCAACACAGCACAGACAGCCACATGGTAAGTTCCTTGAGCAAAATAAGTAGTCACTATATTCTTACTCACTCTCGTTTTCCGGCAGATGTCCACGTCGCTTCGTTCTTCTCTATCCATCGGCCCATCTCCGTGACCACTACGGTTCCCCCGACCTCATCTTCCGAAGCTTTCGAAGCTCTCTTTTCTACAAAGAAATTCATGAAGAATGATCCAGAGGACGTGATCTTCACTCTCTCCAACACTGCCCAGTCGATGGAGAGCATGGCGCACGGTATGGAATCGGAGGACCAATTCGGCCAGCTCCAGCGCAGCTTCGCAAGCGATGCCGATGGTGAGCTCCGTATGCTCGATGGCCCGGAGCCCAAGATGACCGTGGAGGAGTACACTCGCCGTCTTCGCCCATTCCACCCGCCCCCGCCTCCGGTCCCTATGGATATGAACGCCAACGTTGAGTCTATGGAGGCGTACGACGCAGAGAACCAGGAGGAACTTTCTACATATTCGACTGTTCTGACCATCCGGGAATCCCGCTCTGCTGACGGTCGCAAGACCTACGAGGCATCCACTGGTCCTTTCGTCCGGGGTGACATGGAGGCGCCCGCCGGTGAACACGAGGGTCTCACAATCGACGCACCGAGCGACACCGCCGGCATGACCTACGTTGAGCGCCTTCGCCACAACAACTCTATGCATGCCATCAGCACTAAGCGACGCCGCAAGGTCAAGATGAAGAAGCATAAGTTCAAGAAGCTGATGCGGAGGACGCGCACTCTTAGACGCAAGCTCGACAAGGCTTAGACTCGTCCTTAGTCACTTTTCTACTTCTCTGCTTTCCTAATTCTCCTATATGGGTCTCTTTGATGCATATCTGGCTTGCGTCTTGCATCTTTGGGTTGAGGTGTAGTATTGTCTTATTCGCCCAAGGCATATATCCTGCTTTTGTGTTACTTCGTATATTTCACTTTTTCTTCTCTCTCTCTTCTGATTTCTTGTTCGTTTCCTCTCCTCTTCCACCCTACATACTCTATCCAAATATCCAATCATCGCCCCATCTCTGGTTTTGGCCTTTTCGGTGCAATGGTTGCTTTTCCAATATGTGGGCATTCTGCTGGCCTGCATGCATCGCGGAATACTCGATAGATCTGTCTTGATATTTGTTGAACGGCTATTTGCTGTTCTAGTCGGCTTATAATCTACCGCTCTACAGGTAGCTAGAACGACAATGAAGACTTTTTGACAAGAGCAATGGCTTGGCGTTGAACTCGCAATCTGGACGATTGAAAATCTTTTGCTACGGTGCTTTCTTCGTATTGAAGATAGTAGGCAGAACCTGAAACCAGTATCTTCAGTAGTTCTTCAAGTGGGCACTTGGATGGCTATTCTCCTACAGTAGCAGGATTTTTCAAGGGAAATTGATACGTAATGCACAAGTTTAGGGTTGCGATGGCATGACAAGTACACAAAACCCCGACAAACCAAAGAAAAGACACATGAAAGAACGAAACCGAGAGGTCAAAATAGAGGGCAGTAACGGGAAAAGCGAGAAACCTCGCAATTGTCACCAAAGGAGAAGAAGGGGGAGGAGATCTGATCCCAGACCAGCAAGACCCCGTAAAAAGTAAAGTACAATATCCAGCGCGCATTCATGCAAATATAAGCAAATCCGATATCTACCAACTCATTCCACCTATTCCGGGACCAAATGCTTGTTGGTCCCGGATCTCTACAAACCACATTTGATCAAAGAGAAGATATCCCTTTCACAAAACAAAATGAATTTATCATAGCCGAAATCATTTCCTTTTCTGCATCACATCCCTTCCTCGGACCCAACACGGTTCAGGAAGACGTGCTTTATGTGTGTCGGGGTGTTGAGGAAAGGCACGCCGGAAAAACGAAGTATGTAAACCCGTATCCCAAACGATGGAAAGGTATAGGGTCCAATTTCCGAGCGCGAAAATACGCTTATTGCTTAGCAGACGGCCTTTGAGCGGGAGTTCATGAGCAGAGCGACAATCAAGCCGTAAAGACCTGTGTTGAGGAGAGACGAGTTAGAATGACAGGGCAAGGACTAGATGGTTGAGGCACAAGCTTACCCAGGACTTCAGCGAAAATGAGAATCAGAATCATTCCGACGTAGAGGCGAGGTTGCTGAGCAGTTCCTCGCACACCAGCATCACCGACAATACCAATAGCGAAACTGGACGGTGTTAGCGCATAAACGAGCCAATGACCCGGGAGATCTGAGAAAGGAATACATACCCAGCAGCAAGACCGGCCAGACCGACAGCGAGACCAGCACCGAGTTGAATGAACCCAGTGTACAGAGGGAGCTTCTGGGTCAGGTCGTTGGCGACCAGGACGGACACGACCAGACCGTAGATACCAATGATACCAGCCATGACAATGGGGACAATGTCTGTAGCGAATTAGTAATGCTGTTCAGAGAAAAGAGAAGCATTGCTCTTAGATGATGCTTCAGGTTCTGAGCTCGACGTACTCTTAACGATCAGGTCGGGGCGGAGGACAGCCATGCTGCAGACACCGACACCAGCCTTGGCAGTGCCATAGGCGGCACCGAAGCAGGTGAAGACGATGGCGGACGTGCAGCCCAGCGCACCGAAGAAGGGCTAGAAAGAGGAGACGTCAGTCATAGGGCCAAGACGAATTCGACAAGTGTAATCATGGATGGGGATCGGGAGGCTGGAACACGGGGGTGTAGACGGGAACGGGAACAAGGATGTCTATCGAGGGAGATAGACTCACCGCATAGACGGGGCTGTTTTGAGGTTCATGTTAGCTATAATTCACGATTGCAGGCAATTCCTTGACAGATGCGACGCCAGACCGGGGTTCGGTAGCTGTCAAGCAGCCTAGGGGGCTGAAGGCGACTCCAGGACGACTCACCAGAGTTCAGTGGCCATTTTGACGGAGCAAGTGACCCAAAAAGGTGATCAAGAAAAGCTCGAAGCTTGAGATTGATGATAGGAGACCCGGTTGGTGCAAGCTCAAGCCGTGAAGGAGGATGCGGTAATCGGGGAGGATGGAGAGTGCTACGAGGTCAGTCAGAGGCCACGCCGGTCCGTAGTCACGTGTTTTCCCAGGTTGGCACCCCACTCATTCTATACATCACTTTTGCCGTTTCTTCTAGAGTATCATCACAGAATGGCTCAACTCTGTGCTCTAGTTAAGAAAATGGAGTATTCAAGTTATGTCCTTCGTGATACTATAGTGCATGGAGAGATCAATCATATCAAGTCACAAGCCATGAAGGGATCATTTGGACTTCAAATTGTCCGAGTCTATTGTTATCGTTGTTGTACAGTAGGATTTTTCTAATTAATATACATTTTCCTAGCAGAGCCTCACTCAGAGTCTACTGCAGGACTGAGAATGACCTGACATCCCGGTATATCAAGTTTCGTATGGAGACCAGACCCCCATTCCGTTGTCTCCTGCTGCTCTTCGTCCATAGGCATAGATCGAGAATAGGTGATCCCTTTCTCTGAGAGTGCTCCAAAGGTATTTGGGAGCGAGGCAAGAGCTTTATTCTCGTTTGGATGCGTATCAAGTTGTTCGGCATCAGACACTATTCCAAAACAGTAAGAGATTGCGTCTGAAGGCGCGTTGTTCTGCCTTGACTCATCTTGTGGGGAAGGTGTTGATTCCGTTGACACGTAGAACTGGATGAAGTCGCCTTCCGTTGCGACTTGCGACAGTATCGAGAGATCATCTCCAACCAAACCATCTAGGAAAGGCGGCGGCAGGTCTGACACCTTGCTTGTGTTGTGACTGAAGAGATCATCTAAATGATCGAGCTCCACCTTACCAGCGGTGCCAGGAAAGGCGATTTCTGGATCTAGAGAAAGCAGTCCTTGTTTCTTTCCCCATCCACCTCCGCCGCTTATGACTCGATGTAATTTGCCCCCGTGAGAAACAGATTCCAAGAGGCCATGTTGCGAGCATGAGACAGTCGCCGTGGGTTTCTCAATCAAAGCCCATACAGAGACCCTTTGGTCGACGATATTATTCTCGGAGATATAGCGGGGGAGCTCCTTCTCTAACTCGGTGGAGGCGGGCATAGGTGCAACCGAATCCGGGTCTGTGGATTTCGATACTTGTCGCAAGATGTTACCCATGCTTGAGATGACTTTCCGTCGCTGGCCGACAGGATGAAGCGGCAATGTCAATGTAGATTGGATATCGGCAACGGATGACGAAGTCTTGACAATACAGTTTGTCAAATCAACAGAGTCGTTCAAGGCGAATGCTCCATTATCTCCCGCTGTTTTATCCCAAGTCCAGCGCATTCCAAGCAGCGTCGATTCCTTGCCGTTGACGAATATGGTATGCGCAAGTCGCAAGCCAATTTGATGGGTAGAGAGATCGGCGGCGTCTACCGAAATTCCAAGATCAGTCTCCTCCAATGCAGGCCCCCCCGAAGCGACGAGGAGGTGCAGCTTTCCCTTGTACATTGAGCTGCGGTACAACAAGTAGAGACAGTCCTTCAGGCTCTGCGCCTTCAAAAGCGGCGCTTGTCTGAGAGGGTGCCATGGGAAATGCGGATATGTTTGGGAGTTTGTCGACGATAGCTGCAACGGCATATATAGGATCCGAGCCGGTATACAATCGACCAAGCAGTTTCGGGAGGAATTCATCGGTCGGGTCGAGCCAGTGTGCGAATTTGGGAGTAACAAGGAGAAGGGGAGTGGTGTCTTTGGCGGGCGAGAAAGAAAGGCTTGACAGGATATCGTCTGTCGTCTTAACTCAACGGTTAGATTTCCCCAAGAAGACAGAATTTGATTAGCGTACAATTGTTTCTGGTGTTTTTGTGAGCCAGGTATGGGCGAAAGGCGCGTCACCGAAGCTCTTTGTCGCAATCCATCTGTTCGCGCAAATTGACCTTGACAGAGCTCGGGGTGAGCTGCACGCCAGGCGTGGTGCCATCGGATTTAATCGGAAAGACATGTATCTTGTTATAGCATGCCAAAGATCACTGGTAATAGGACATTACTGCAAGTGAACGTGGCGGGCGCTGTGAGTTAAGATTGAGGACAATCGCCGCGGAGCTGGAATTCGGGAGGGTAAAATCTTCGGTAATACATATACACTATGTATATAGACTCGGGTATTATACATGTACTATGGTACAGATAGTCTGACCTAATTATAATTAGGCAAGGTGGTCCGCGGACCTCCGCGGATAGCGCATTCTCATTTATGTTTTGTCTTCACATCTGAATGGATGTCGTCTCATAGAGCCAATTATCACGCTGGAATTTTCAGTTCACAATTGGGGCTCCAACAAGTTCTCTGGAAGTGAGGGTGGAGGGGGCTCTTTGATACTATATAAGCTGAGCCTCCGCGGACGTCCGCGGTTTTCCATGCTGGCAACAAAATGAAGCGTGACAATAAAGGTATCCCAATCACGACGGTTGGTCGATGGTCTCAGCCAACTTTATCATGTTTTGCATGCCGTGAGAAGAAACGTCGGTGCGACCGTGCTCAGCCATGTTCCAATTGTGTCCAAAGGCGCATTCCATGCGAATACTCCGGGGCCCGTTCACATGTGGCGGTTTGCTTAGATGCACCGCAAAGGTCCACTTCTTGTGAGATCAATCATACAGAAGAGCATATGCCTCAACTAAAGCCCTCTGCCCAGTAAGTTCTTTCCACCTATTGATAGATCCGTGATTCCGTTCGCTGATTCCTCAAGTAATTCCGACGAACTCCTACATCGAATTCGCAGACTGGAGGAATCAGTTTCCAGAAGACCAGGTACAGCTCAAGAGTTCTTCAACACTCTTCAAAGTCCAGCTTCAATTGGAGCCACGGAAAATCCGGTAAGATTCCTAGCACTTTCAAACCTTCAGTATTGCAAAATATTGACACCTAGTACTTTAGACTTTTGGCTCCCACTATGTCACTCCTTTCAGTGCTCATCTACTCTCTACTTGGAATACAGAAGAACGAGGTCTAAGTATATATGATATAACAAGACGACTACCTCCTTTTCATCAAGCCAATGAATTATTTGACCATTTCGCAACCACATTGCAGCCGACCTTTGGAGTTTTGCACATTCCCACTGCCCGAACACTTATGGAGAAAACTTACCAATGCATGCTCGAAGGCGAAGAGCCCCCTGCATCTGACTTACTGTTGGTCTTTGGCATTTTTGCCGGCTCGGCACTCATTTGGACGCCTCGACTTCTTGAAAAATTGACTACTACGAAGGCCGGGGTGAAGGCGGCTTTCATGGCTTATGCCCGCACTGCACTTGCAATACTTGAACATCCCGATCAAATAATTCAACCATCCACTACATCTCTTGTTGGTATGGGAATCCTCGGACATTTGCTCATGAATACCGATGGGTTCCCCATCAAAGTGCATCTCATTCGACACCGGTGTTTGTTAATGTCGCGAGATCTGCAAATACATCGTTTAGATACCGCTAAAGCTCGCGAAGAGCGACGAATTAAAGGATGCGATATGATAGATGTTGAGGTTCAGAGGCGTGCTTGGTGGAATATGGTTGCATCTGACTGGTAAGTCACCATTCATAGAACCCTGCCATTGCAAGCATGCTGATCCCGAAAGGCTTCTCTCATTCTCCGGTGGTCCCCAAGAGGGTGCATACACTTTCCAGTCTAAGCACATGAATGTGAATTTACCCAGCAATACGGATGATGAATTGATAACAGCATCGGGAGTTCAGCAGGAATTCCCCTTGTCTGTTCCTACGGCCATGTCGGCATTTTTTGCCCGAGTCCAGGGATCTGAACTTTGCCGTGATGTTATTGATGCCTTGCCGTCCATTATGTTGGACTCCCAGGAGTGCGATTATGAGACCATCTTGGGGCTAGATGCCAAGTACCAGAAGCATATGGACGATCTCCCCTTCTTCTTCAAGCTTGACACGGCCAGCATCGAGCAAAGCCGACAAATATGCAAAGAACGACCATACATTGCCTGGCAACGGGTCTCTATTCATTTCAGTCTCCATACGCGCCTCTGCCGACTCCACAGGCCATATCATCTTGAAGGAATAACCAACCCGAAATACGCCTACTCTCACACAAGTTGTATTCGATCCGCGCAGAAAGTCCTGGAGCTGCGACGCTTGATGGACGAAATTGCAGTTGGGGTTGGACTCAGCCCATCGCGTTTCTGGATTGTCATGCACCACGTGTTTTTCGCGGCGCTAATTCTGGCCATGGACGTCTCGTTCAACCCCCACGCACCCGACGCCGAGGCTCGCAAAACAAAAGTACTTGCGGCGTATCAGACATTGGAGCAGTCGAAGCAAGAATCAAATTATCTCATGGAAGGAATCCAAAAGAATTTGCAGACGCTCATGTCGACCCTCCACAAAACTCGGCCACAGACTTCTGGCGCAGGGTCCCGTGTGGTGCAAAGTGGTGTATTCGCCGAGACAGGCCAAGCGCCCGCCCGACTTGGCGAATCGTCGACAACTCACGAGGGTGGTGGAGACGGGATCAGTGTACAGCCTGGTTCCACGATGGCGGTGGATGAAGGTTTGGACCTCGGCATGGTTAATGACTTGGACCAGGAAGGTTGGGAGCAGCTCTGGTCGGAATTTGTGGCTGTTGCGCCAGAGCTGGACGTTCCACAGTGGAGCTCATTACTGGAGGACGTTGATTTCAACCCGCAGCTGGACGCATACTAAATAGGCGGACAAGTTCAGATTCTAAATTGAGAACACAATCCCCTTTCGACCTAGCTACTAGTAAGTTATTTACGGGGTAGGCGTGAGTTTGTTGCCCCCCCAACCCAAAATTAGAAAGCCGATTCCGAGGCCGAGATTCTTCAGGTCACTCAACTTGCGTCAGTAGTGAAATGTACGGAGTACTCCGTACAGGAACCTGCTTTGTGAAATTAAGATTCAGCCACAACTTATGTCGCACGAAGACAGGACTCGAACTAGCCAAGCGATGAGTGAAGTCATGAGTGACCAATGGTACCAGGAGGCTTGGGCATCACCTTGGCAAGTGGGGGGAGGCAAGGGGATAGGGCGTGTAGGGCTGGTCGTTGAACAAGCGCCACAGTGACGAGTGTGTTCTCCCGAGAATCGCTAGGAATCAAGGATTCCAGACTAGTACATTGTATGTACGTGCTGTGTTCGGAGTACAGTATGTATGCATGTATTTATTCATATGTATATGGAGTACATGGTCATGAGGAGGACCCGGTACTTGGACCCTCCTCAGATGACATTGAGTACATAGAATGTACTCTGCATGGGAGGTAAAGTATCATGCTATGCATGTATCTGGAGATCTTTCTGAAGCAGATTGGTGTCACACCGAACCGAGTTCCCCAGCCACGTTAGGCCAATGCCAAGCTTCTTGCCAGGCAACGAGGAAACGGGCGGTTGGGATGGGGCGGTTGGGAATGAAGATCCAGGGCCGAGACCGGAAATGATTGGAGACGGCTGCAGGGTGCAGCGGATCCTGCAGTGATAACCCTGGAGGAAGAGGAGGGCTGGCAGGGTTTGAAAGATGTGATGACTGCCAACCAGGAACCTAACGCCCATCGCAATTACACAGAAAGTGGAAGTGAAAGTGAAAGTACGTACTAGAGAAGGTGCACAGCCACAGGCAGCCAGAGTCGCAGTACTCTACAGGGTCTATCAGCCAATCACAGACAACTGTGGCAGGTACATCAAACTGAGCCACAGGGTGGCGGTCAATGACGCAACATAGTCGGGAGCTCCTTCCCTGCCTTTTAAAAGAGCCAGTCTGCTGCTCCTGCCTTGTTCCCATTCCTCTCTTGATTCTGACTTTCCCTCTCTCCCTCGATCTCTTGAGCTCTTGATCTCTCTACTACCTTTCGATTTCCCGATTCCTAGGAAAACACCGCCATCATGCCTTTCACTGCTTCGTGAGTCCCCCATACTCTTTTCTCCCTGTGCACCCTTTTTTTGGCGTTTTCCCGAGTAGAGGTTAGCTTGGGTAATCTGACTGCACTCGTCACACTTCCAATCGGACCATATGACCATATGACCATGACCACCATTGCTGACTCTCCATAGTGATATCTGCAAAATCATCTTTGCCATCATCCTGCCCCCTCTGGGTGTCTTCCTGGAGCGCGGCTGTGGTGCCGACCTGCTGATCAACATCTGTTTGACCATTCTGGGTTGGGTCCCTGGTATTATCCACGCTCTGTATGTACTCCACTTTTTCTCCTCATTGGAGATCATCGTCATCCCCTTATCCCCTGGATCGCAGCTCGCTAACCCTATTCCTTAGGTACATCATCTTCAAATACTAGCGACCCCGTTCATTCTGACAATCCCGCGTCGCCGCCCTTCGAATGCGCTCTTTCCGACCCTCCCGGCAGGGAAAGATAACCTTGCTCAACAGGCCCACTTGCTATCTTGCTTGCCACGTCTGATTCGGCTCACGAGTGTAACGGAGCGGATTTCTTTGAGTGCCGGCGCCAATATGCTTCCGCAGAGGTCCGGATTCGCCTAGCCTCATGCAGCTATTCACCCTGCACTACTTGGCATCGAAGATGTCCATAATTTCCCTAATTTCGGGCGATGTTGCATATCGTCGGAATCTCCTATGTATTTCTTTGTTCGATGCTCTTTGCTTCCATCTCACGAGTTCTGTTCTTTTTTCTGTTTTTTTTTATGTCAAGTGATACCTCCTCATAGTGTTAAGGACCTGCGGGCTTGTCTCGCGTCTTATCCGCGCGCTCTAGTTATTTTTACGATGGGAATGGCAATTGTCTGAATATCGCTTCACTACATATTTCCTCGAAGTCATCGACAGTAGGTTAGTAGTACGTATTAGTTGATAGGCGACTTGACCTTCTGGAGAATGCGAAGTATCCTAGGATGGCGGGCGATCCTATCGGATGAGGCGGCTGGGGGCCACCAAGGGAATTTGCCATCTGCAACATCTGCCCCGGAAAAGGGTAGCCAGTCCCCCATGCGTGGGATGGCCGTTCATACTCCATGCTGACAGGACTACGCGGCTCGTTGGGTTTAGGAAACGTTCATGTTCCATTTCAAGAGGCTCTGGCGCTTTCTAGAAGTCTCGGGTAACTAAAATACAGGGAAGATCTTCCCCCGATATAAATGCTTTCAATTCAATCTTTCGCCGCAACTTCTAGCCCCCAAAATGATTAGCAGAGCATAATCGATCGATTAAAAGAGGGTTGAGGAAACCTGAAACACCGCCCACGGCGTTGGCTCATTCGCGCTGACCTGGAAGCGCCCCCATTGTGCCCCGGCGCGTACCCCTCGGCGCTTACAGCTGCATCATCCAACCAGCAGCCAAAGAGTACAGCGCTTCACCTCCCCATCATTCGCCAAAATTCAACAAGCCCTAGGGGGCCGATGTTATTTCGTTTCACCAGGGCGCCTACAGATGCTCCGCCTCATCATCTGTGTTTCAGAACCACGTCGAACCCAACCTGTTTGGTTCCTCGGGCAGCCGATCAGCGTCATAGCGAGGTTATGTTGCCTCGCGCGTAAATTCGCGATGCGCGAGGTTTTGGTGTTTTGGTTTTAATCAAGCCATGGCCGCTCTTGGAGGGAGCAGGTGGCTTTTCTTACCTTTTCTCTTCTCTTTGACTTCTTGGTGTCATCATACCTTTGGTCAGTTTTCCAAAGACTGAATCGAATTGCTCTCGAACAACTACATACACGTATCGGCCGATGATGGTAACCTCGAAGAACATATGGATTCGAGGGTAGTCACTCCCATGTATTATCAGTAGAGGTACGCTCCTTGCGAAGCACTGGCAAAATCATCACCCATCCATTCCTTACAAGTGCAGAGTTGCCACAGCATGATCGTCCATTTAATCCACATCCTCCTCGTGGGCCTTCTTTTAGTCGCCTTGGTCTCAGCAGATAATTCGAATTCCGCAAGCGATGACTCTTCACTTTGGGACATGGTTCCGGATTGCGCCCGAACTTGCGTGAGCAACTTCATCGATGCGCAATATACGGAGAGCGAATGCCCGGACTCGACAAATATAAAATGTCTATGTCGGCACAAAACCCCCAGTGGGCTGACATTGGGGGAGGCGGCTTTGAGCTGTACATATGCCCTGTGCGATGATAAGACGATGAAGGACGCCAATGCCTATCAAATCTGTGACTCGGTGCCCGGTGCTATTTCAGAAACCCATGCCACGATCACAGCAACCACGTTCCCTAAAAAGACCACCACAAAGACCCAACCAACGACAACAACAACGAATAAAGATAGCCCAATCTCAAATCCCGCGAGCGAAGCCCCGGGGATCACTACATTTGATCCAACGACTTCAAAATCAGAGTCGAAAGTGACATCAACCTCAACCTCAGATCCAGATTTGGATTCGACGCCAAAAACCACCAGCTTGGAACACTCTTCAAGTCCCAGCCAGACGCAAACGTCACCTACACCCACTAATACATCCGAGTCAGATGACAATGGAGGTCATCACGGAGTTAGCGCTGGAACGGTAATCGGTGTCTCGGTTGCATCAGGCGTGGCTGGATCTTTCTTAATCGCCGTCGCCGTATTTTTCTGGTGCAAGCGATGGCGACAACAGCGGCGAAACTCTTCCGAGCCGGACTCGGATTTCTTTGAAATTGGAGGCACCATGACTGAGCCTCCGGGGTTCTCAGAGGCATCTTCCCGACGATCCACACCAGATCCTGGCCCTGGACCCGGGCCTTCCTCGTTCAACACTTCTGCCAGGCAGCCAGAAATTTCAGAGCCTCAGCGTAGCTTCCGACCAGGATCACAATATCCACCGACATTTGCGGCCTTCCCAACTGCTTCTTCCTGGGAACAGGTGGGGCAAAGGAAGCGAGAACGTATAGGATTTGCTGTTAGCTCTGCTTCGGACTGGGCAGATTCACCCCGATCACAGACATCACAAGCCCCATTCCCAGACACAATACCTAACCAAGGGCCTGGGCTATATCCCAAACCTCTAAAATGGAGCCACCGACCAACCAGTGGAGAGACCCTGTTCGAAGAAGAGGAAGAGAGTCAAATGCCCAGCATCGTTACAGCGGCATATCAAAAGCCCAACATGACTCAAAAACCAGGGTCTCCACGCCTTATGCCAGGATTGCCGGCCAATCCTCGAGCTCTGAAAGATGGCTTCCCGGCAGATAGATTCCGTCGTGCCCCTGCAGGCCCCCAGCTAAATACCCACGACGACGCTCACTCTCGATACCCTCTCGGTGTAAACCCCGAGCCCAGGGGAAGAACCCCAGCACCGCTCTATAACCCAAAAAACACACAGCGAGCCTCCTATACCTCAAATAGCAGCGGCACCCAGAACTATAGCTCTGATTGTTCCCAAGACACAACATCAAATACTCTCCTCACAACACCGGGAAGGCCAGAACCCATAGCTCGAAAACCATCACCAGGCACCGCAACACTTGCGCCCCCCGCCGAGATTGTCTCGCGGCCGCGTATCGTTCGTGGTGATGATATCAAGCGCGTTCATGTTCGGAGCAGTCCTCGCCCACGTCCACCAAGCGAGGGAAGTGCGCCCTGGGGCCCAGAAGATCTTTGGCTTCAGCGTGGCCGTACCAATGCATCACCTCCACAAGCTTCACCGGAGCTACCTTATCCATCTGAAAGATGTCCTGGAGTGGTCTTATACCCGTCCAGTCCGAAGAAGCAGCCTCCAGGCATGCCACAGGGGCCATCGCCAACGGGAAGGAATTTGACACCGTCGAAAAGAGGAACTGATTTGATACTGAGGGTTGATTGAGACCCCTTTCTATTGTCCTGTAACCTTATTTACCCTTTCTCTTGTAAATTAGATTTGGATTGTTTTAGTACAAAGCCATTTATATACTGTGAAATATGAAACTATTTCTGCTGTTGAACAGCGTTTAATCTTAAGTTCTATTGTTCAGGCTTGTAGGTCGAAACAGTAAGGCAACTATAGCGAGAGGAAGGTTTTCCTCTCTGTTTCCCCACTGCCAGTACTACTTCAAGTTACTATTCGTTGCCGTCGGCTTCTAAACAAAAATTGCTATATACTAGATTCAAACCGACCATGGATAATCTCCCGGAGACCTGCAAGTGGTCTTTATTCCAGATTTGGTGGGTGGTTGTAATGACGGGAATGGTGGTATTTCGATGTTCTGGTTGGCAACGCCACATGCCGCTTCGAGCCGTCGACCACAATAATCAACCACTCAGACGGAGTTCACTTGATGCTTTTCTTTGGGTGGAGTTCGATCTTGGCTTCTCCCTAGATTACTGGCCCGAACTCTTAATAGTACAAGTGTTTCATCCAATACTTTAGTTCCTGGGGCTGTTAGGTCAGCCAACGTGGTGACTGCATGACGTCAAGGGGTTGATGCAGCCTTCCATGATTTGTTACCGCTGCAAACTCGGGATACTCTGTACGGGTTAGTGATGGAAAATGAGTGATGTTTGGGCGCCTCTAGTGGCCTGGCGTACCTTGTGAACCGAATCGTGAGCACTCTACGGGTATCGTAGTATGGTAACACTATAGTCTGGTTTGGAATAATTATGGCGAGGCCCATCATTGCCCTCCTCATGAGATTGACTTAACTTTACCACTCGGTGCACTCTACTCCGCAGTCTCGCACTTGGAGACGCTTGGTTCTCTTTTCTCTTGCATCCAGGGCACGCCGTATTGTGGACCATAGAGACACGCACGGTGTTGTCCCTCGAGAGTCGTTATCCGGATAATGACGCTGGGGTCTGAACACATGGAGTGGGTCCCCCCAGGATGCAGCCAGCGGTATGATCCTCTGCTACACGACTCTGCTTGGCCTTAGAAGGCTATATTAATGGCCTGGCACCCCCCACATGCTCCATCAGTCTAACTGACTTTCGTCACGATTTGCGCCCATCTGTTCAAGCCTCCTGCGAGCAGTCTGCACATCAGCCACCAAGAACGACGCTTAGTCGAACCTTCAAAGCTACTCTCAGGGTAGCGAAAGAACACCTCCGGCATCGTCATCATAAATAGACTGAGGATCGAAGCGATTGTACTCCGTACATATCGCTGGCGGTGATCGTCACAGTGCCCCAGACCCGCTCTAATTGACCCACTTATTCCTTGTTTCTTTCTCCCTTTCAACATGCCTACGGCCGATGCATTCGAGTCCCAGAGGCTCCGCCGAGATTCAAGCCTAGACGCCGATCGGGCCGACCTTTATGGGGGCCTCAACGTCATAGCTCCTCCAAAACACTTAATAGACCCGAGTCGCAACTTTGAATTCAATCCCAACAACACAATGGTGACCGATCCCGTTAGCTCTGATGCCACCTCTTCATACGAGGGAGACTCTTCCCAAGTGACCACGCCCTTGTCAACACCGTCAACGGTAACAAGCAGCGACTTTGCGTTCGCATTCGACATTGATGGCGTCTTGGTTCGGGGTGGTCAGCCCATCCCGGAGGCCGTCCAGGCCATGAAGTATATCAATGGCGAGAATCCGTACGGGGTGAAAGTGTGAGTTCACTAGCTTCCCTTGCCTTAGCTCGATAGCAACAAATATTAATTTACAATTGAAACAGACCATACGTTTTCCTTACAAACGGCGGCGGCAAGTCAGAGGAGGAACGATGCGCGGATCTCAGTCGCCAACTCGAAATGGAGATCTGCCCTGGCCAATTCATTTGCGGCCATACGCCCATGCGCGAAATGGCGGAACAGTACAACACCGTTCTAGTCGTTGGTGGCGAGGGCGAAAAGTGTCGCGGCGTCGCCGAGGGATATGGATTCAAGAATGTCATTACCCCCGGAGACATCATCAAAACACGGAACGATACCACGCCTTGGCGCAGACTTACAGACGAAGAGAATGAGAATTCGCGCAAGATAGATCTGGAAAACACCCAAATTGAAGCCATCTTTGTCTTTGCCGATAGTCGTGATTGGGCTGGAGACCAGCAGATTATCCTGGACATCCTCATGACCGTGGAAGGCAAGCTGGGCACTCGCTCGGAGGTCTTCAACGAAGGCCCACCATGCTTCTTTTCTCACAATGATGTGATTTGGTCCACATCCCATGAACACTCGCGTATCGGCATGGGTGCCCTGAAGACTTCGCTGGAAGCCGTGTACAATGCTATAACGGGCAAGGATTTGAATACCTTTGCTTTCGGCAAGCCCCAAATGAGCACCTTCACGTTTGCCACTAAACTCCTCCAAGACTGGCGTCAGGACTCTCATGGCATTGATAAGCCTCCTTCAACGGTATACTTCATCGGAGACACCCCCGAGTCGGATATTCGAGGCACCAATGAATTCAACAATAAAAGTGAGATTGATTGGTATTCGATCCTTGTCAAAACTGGTGTCTGGCAGGATAAGACCATTCCTCGCTACCCACCTCGCAAAATCTGCGACAATGTCTACGATGCCATCAAATTCGCAATTGAACGCGAGCAACAAAAGTCTATCAACAGTGGCACTACAATTCAGAACATACAAAAGAAGAGAGAGGGGTTGCAAAACTAGGCCCTTCCTAGACCCTTCGATATTCTGTGTCTTACAATCGAGTTATCTTGATCAAATATGCTTGATCATATGTTATATGTCTATCACGCGACCTGACTTTGAATGATTCCCATACAACGACCAAATTCCACAGATATTTTCTGCTTATTCTACTTTGTGGCCCGGGGTAGCCTTCCACTGAGTGGTGGACTTCTCAATCTACTTCGTCGAAGCATTTTACCTACTAGATGATGAAATGAAATGAGATCTATAAATTAAAATTTCCTTGTCCCGACTCGAAATTTCATGCAAATCAACACTACCTACATTGGTAGATCATGAAGGATACTAGTACTGTGTCTTATCCTATTACATTAAGAAATCCGCGGTTAATCTTTGTTCAACTTACCAGGGCCAAATGCCCAGACTATCCCGAAACTCTCAGCTTCCTACATAGCGGAATGGTAAATACCGTGACGTAATAGTAGGCGGGACAACGATATTTTAGCCCTTTGGGTGCCAGGTTAATCAAACACGCGAGAAGTAAATCTGAACTGGGTTAATGCCATTTCTCGCAATCCTTGTCATGCCCTTTGGATTTGAAAGCGCGAGCAAATCAAACCAGTCCCACGGCGGTGGTCCATGTGGCGGTACGAGGTCACGGAAGTGACAGATTAGGCAGCCCGGGGAGAACCTTGGAAGTGATAACATTGAGGTCTGATTCGAGATCATCCCCTCACTTCCATGTTCTTGGCTGACAGGGTATGTATATGCGGGGATCAAATCCGGGGTGGAGTAGCGGTAGTTGCGGAATCTAAGTTACATTCCTGGTTATTTGAAAAGGAATTACGTGCAGCCTATTATCCATGCTTCTATATTTGTATTCTGTCATATTAAGTGTGACTTTTTCAGATAAACGTGACACATTTCGTCAGTCCCATTGTCTGCTGTGCATCCATCGGATACCATAGCGAACTAACGACAACCACGAGGATTGCATTTGTGGACGTCTACCTTGTCCAGGCAATATCAGAGCACAGGACTTAGAGGATGCCACTCAAGTTGGACCTTGTCGTATAATTATATAGTAAGTCTTCGTATCGACTCGATACGGTAGATATTTGAGCCTGATATTCCGGGCGGTAACTACGCCCTTGAGATGACATCGACCCACCGCGGGGAAAATGACTCCCTGGATTGCTAGATTTTCTTCAAGGTTGAAAACAAATATCACGCAGCCATCTCAATTCTCATCGGACAATAATGGTATGTCGCGCACTATCCGGCGGGGAATTTTAACTTCTAATTAGACTAGGCTCAATGCACGGAGGCATTATACCTCCATGATGCTTCTCTGAGAACTCTGACTACGGAGGTGATATCCTGTCAATCGATTTCATCGCTCTCAGAAAACGAAAAATGTCTAGCCAAATCTCTCTCCCCAGAATATTCAGCTATAGTCATGCGCCAGACAATCTTGTATCCGCGCGGGGGCGGACAGCCTAGCGATACGGGCACTCTTGCTCTGGAGGATCAGGAGCCGACGTTCACCGTGCTTCTAGTCCGCAAAACACAGGATGGAAGGATCCTGCACTTCGGGAAGCCCGACAATACCGATACCATCTTCGTTGAAGGCCAGCGTGTTATTCAAAATGTCGATGGCGATCGCCGAGACTATCATTCTCGCCTGCATACGGGAGGCCACATCGTCGGGCTGGCAATGGAGCTTCTCTTTCCCGATATGAAAAAGGTCAAGGCCAACCATGCGCCTGGAGAAGCCTGCATGGAGTATGAAGGCTTACTGTATAATGAGCAAAAGCTGCTGATTCAGGCAAAGGTGGACGAGCTGGTAAAACAGGATCTGCCCATTCTCATCTCATGGGTAGAAGATGGTTCCGATCTAGAGGGCCGGGGAAAAATCGCGAAGGCCCAGTTCGAGTCGCAAGTATTGGTGGACTTGATCAGAATCCTTGCGGTGGTACCCATGTCGACCGGACCAGTTTGGCTGGGCCTATCGCTATTCGCAAAGTCAGTCGACAAAAAGGGATTAGCCGGGTCTCGTACGAAGTTCCTGAGAAGCAATAGACTGGTTGCTTGATATTAAACATGAATGATGGTAGATTATTTTGTATCTACTGGTATATAGATATTTATTTAAAAGATTCCGAGTATGCGACAGGCAATATTAACTTCCATGAAACATTGGTGTAAAGAGAATTTCGCATGATGGTTGGCGTTGGGCCCGCTAATAACTTCGATTAAGACACAAAATATCAAGTTAGATGACGAATCCTTGATCCAGCCAATGCTTCATAACGATTTTGCCCTCGTAGAAGCCGTCTTTTGGCGAGCGAACAATAATCGCAGCGTGGGTATGCCGGTGGTTGTGAATGTAGACGGGGTATTTGGTGAATCCCACATCATTCAAATTATCGATAATAGTAAATTGTTCAGGTGTCAATGCGAGTTTTGGATGATGATGCGGGTGTTCGACGCTGGCACGGCGGGTCTTCTTAGACGAAGTTGAGCCAAACGGTGACCTGCTGCGTTTGCCTGACTTTGAAAACCTTTCTCCCATCTCGGATGGATCAGACATATCGGATTCGGTGCTCGAGAGATAAGCTGGCTCTTGTTGGGCATTTGCATGTTCAAAGACCTCTTCAAGGGCGCTTTGAGCATCACGTATGAGCAAAGGTATCTTGTATCTTCCGAAGCGTAGCCCATTATCTCCTTCCGCGTGCAATTTTATTCTTCGCTGACTGCGAAAGGTTTGTATGGCAGAGTTGGCAAGGAATAATGTTGAGACGGGACCGATCAGAACGAGAACGAGCATCCAGAAAGGCGCATCCCTCATGAATGCTTTGTGTTTTTCGCATGTTGTCGCAGTTACAGAGTCCGAATCACTCAATACCGAAGGTAGTAGGTAGTCGTTAGGGTCGATAATGACTTGCTCATAACCATCAACGTAGTTGATATTGATATTTTCCAGATCCTGGAAAGGATCCACTTTGGACAGGGTCGTTGTGTAGAATGCGGTCGTTCGGTCGTTTAGAATGTTGCCATAGGTAGATCGGTTCTGGAACTTTTTCAAGCCTTTGATGAAAATGCTCTCTGGGTCTGCGAGGACGCTCAGGAGTGGTCGACCAGTATCACGGAAAGAGTCGACCATGAACAATTGTTGGCCAGACATAGAGACTGTGCGAGCTCCCATCACGTTCCAGAACTTTCCCCACCAGCCCTTTAGTGGTGCTCTCACTCCGACATGTGGAGAGGCGAAGGTGGTGAAGTTGACAGGCTCCACTTTGTCAAGCCAACCTTGAGCTTCTAATAGTCCAATGGCATATCTTGCGACAAGACCTCCCAGGGAGTAGCCGACAACGCTAATTCTTCGAATCTTCTGGCCCTCCTTCTCCAGGGTATCTAGTGTGTCCTCGATTTCATGCGCTAAGCGCTCGCCGCCCAACTCGATGCCGTCGTAGGTGAAATTGCCACTGTTTTCTTTGGCACAAAGGATATGCAACTTCTCGCCATGTCGTTCTTCGAGTGCAGTGGCTACTTGATCCAAGTGAGATGGGTTGCCCCACAGTCTGTCCCCCCCAAAGCGATCAGTTTGGTTCATGCTTACGCGCGATGGCGGCGCGACGTCATTCGCGGTGGCTGGGAATTAGAAGCTTACCCATGGACCAGAACACACAGATGGTCGGCTTTGGGAGATGTGTCCCTCATTTTCGTGTAAAATCAAATCAGATATTTGGCATGGGGAAAATCTAGGGACAGGGGCAGGGCGGGGGGGGGGGCGAAGTAGTTAAAAAGACTTCGTGTTCCGGAGTTAAGAACATCCCATTCTCCCTTGGTTGCACTTCATCGCCGATTAAGCCCGTCGGAGCTGGTAAGCACGCCGGGTCCCGATGGTCCCGACTCCGTGCCTCAGGTCAGCATGCCTTGGCCTACCTTAGCCTGCTCAGCCTCAGTCTTACTTTACTCCACTGCATATACCGCCAACTGCGGCTTTTGTGATTGCCTAAACCCCCGAGAATCTGTGGATACCTTACTGCCCGATAAATCAGGCGACATTATTGATTCTTGGCAATTTCCCTCCCCAGCCTGCGCCCGTGGCTTCGCTGCCCAGGCCTTTCCATTCATTGATGACAACTCCGAATATCTGCGACTAGCCAGATTTGTCACTTTGAAAGACACCTCATCAATCTTCCACTGTCCATTCGATCCTCGCTAATCGCATCCGAAGTCGGCGCGGGCCTGGTGTTTATCTGATTGTTTGCGAGACCCTACAGGCCTCGGACGGCCGTGATAATGCTACTCCTGGTTTGAACCAAATCACCTCGCAAACTTCAAGACGTCTATTTTCCCTCGCGGTGGAATTTATTGGACACATGCAGCATCATATGCAACATCAAGGATGAAAGATAGTTCTTGTTAGCTCTTGATTTCAACCAACCTCCTTCCCAAGAAGGTTGGGCCGAAAGTCATCATTCTGATTAGTCGCTTTCAACATGTTTCAACCACTCGGTCTATTTGCCGAAATACCTTGTCCTCGGGGTCAAGAATGTGATCTTTTCACATGCATGTTCAACCACGATAAGTGCACCCTAGCGACAGCCAGCAGGCCCTCTAACGCTGCCGCCATCCTCAGCGATGAAAGTGGGCATGTCTCTAAGAAGCAAAGATTAGGCGAGGTCAACTCAGCTCAGAGGGATCCCTCGACTTCTCTCGGAAATCAGCAATATCCGAAGCTACCAACGAAAACTCCCTTGCCGACATTGAGTTCAAAACCTCAATCTCAAGGCACTCGCGGCGACGGCGTTAAGCTGCCATCAGCCTCTCGAAATGTATCGCCTCCGCCTCGGGCTATATCAAGATCTAGGCCCATCAAGCATGAAGCTTCTGCCAGCAGCAACACGGCCCCCTCTCCAGGAGACACGTCAAAGAAGCTCCCCCCCCTCGAAAAGTGCGGAAAGAAAGCTTGAATCCTCGTATGCTCACCAAAGCTCCAGCTACCCATGCCGTTCGATCTGCCATTTTGGATAAGCTTCACGGGGCTATGTCGACGCTCAACACGAAGTTGGTCAGTTCCAAAGATGAATCAAACAAGTGCTTTGTTCTCAATCGCGATGAACTTGTGACTATGGCCTTGGATGAGGAGGAAAAAGTGGCACGAGATAATTACAGTGTTTATTCCAACATTATCAAACTCCGAATTGTCAAATTGACAAAGATGAAATTGGAAGATTGGACCGATGAAGTGAAGACCCATCTGAATACCCGCTATTACAAGATCAAGCCCATTGAGCCCACCCAAGCCGCCCCAACCTCACCCCCCATTGACACCGGCCTCTCCGTCAAAGAGGAAATAGCCATCGCTACTCATCTCATTACCTCACTGGACGGCCTCGAAGAGTATGGCTATGTCACAAAAGCACCTTCAGAGGCAGCCATAGAAACAGCCAAGCAAGGGGTTTCCGATTCAAAAGGCTGGGAGAAATGCGAACGATGCGGTGGGCGATTCCAAGTCTTCCCCGGTCGCCGCGAAGATGGGGCATTGGCGTCTGGGGGCCAGTGTACTTACCATCCCAGCCGGCCATTTCATCCTCCTCGCAAGAGGACCGACAATGTTACTGGTTCCTCAGAGACATACTTTCCCTGCTGCAGCGAAACTGTGGGTACCTCATCCGGATGCACCAAGGCCAACACACATGTTTTCAAAGTATCAGAGACCAAACGACTGGCATCGGTACTTCAATTCAAAACAACTCCCGCTCAGCCTGAAAAAGGACGAATGGATCCGGTTTCTTTCGATTGCGAAATGGGATATACAACCCTTGGCCTGAGAGCTCATTCGCCTCACTGCTGTCAGCTGGCCAGAAGGCCGGGAGCTACTCGATGTCCTCGTCAAGCCTATGGGAGAGGTGTTGGATCTGAACTCGCGTTTCTCGGGCGTCTTTCCTGAGCACTATGCCTCCGCTGTGCCCTACGGGATCCCAATACCTAAAGCAGCTTCGTCAGATAGTCAACTGGAGAAGTCCAAATCGATGCAAGTTGTCGAGTCACCGGCTGTGGCACGGGAACTTCTATTGAACCTTCTTCAACCGGATACGCCATTGATCGCACATGCAATAGACAACGATCTCAATGCTTGCCGGATCATCCACCCCACCGTCATCGACACGGTGATTCTCTACCCCAACCCGGCCGGCGGTCTCCCTCTCCGCGTTGGTTTGAAGGCTCTTGCTCGCAGATTTCTGGAGCGCGACATCCAAACCGGAGGGAACCAAGGCCATGATTCTAAAGAGGATTCTATCGCAACGGGAGATCTTGTGCGAGTCAAAGTGCGGGAATTATGGAAGCGTCTTAAGGCAAAGGGATGGAAATTTGAGAATAATGAACTGATCCCTCCAGCAGGCGAAGACACTCAAAGTCTCCAAGCACACAAGATAGGGATAAGCGTTAGTCCTGGTGCTGGATTTAAGAGAAAAAGGCCTCCCACCTGAACTGTCCACCAATCGTTAGCGCCGAGGGGTGACTTGAGATTTCGCAACCAAATGCAATAAATAGAGGAGCAAGACATCCTTTTATACTACTACCATGCTATCAATTTTATGATACAACACCCATACCCCCTTTTAAGGACTGTCTACATCCGCGTTTTTATTGGTACTAGTATATAGCATTGAAATGCAGGCATTAATGTGCATATATTCCAGTACTACCGTGACTGCTCTAGGTGATGACAATTTCCAACCTGGAGGTTGGGTATAGTATTGCAAGGGCTGCTGTAAAGGCTTCCACACCCGAGGGATAATGAAGCCCTTAGGTCCATTGGAAAGTGGCGCGCCCTTGGTCGTGCAATATCAGTTACAACTTGGCCGAGCAAGATTTAGTACTACCAGTAGTAGTATAAAATAACGGCGGTTCCGTGGAAGCATTGCACCAGAGCAGATATGCCAACCTTGGAATCTTAGAATTACGTAGAGAATTGTGATTCTGCAGGTTTCGTCTTGGCCATAGCAGGAAATGGAGCCCTAGGAAATACAGCTCGAAAATCTACGTATCTCGCTAGCAATGTCTCCAATAGCTAGAACACGACTACGAAAGAACAGATATGGAAGGTATGAACTTTTTTTATTTCGTAGCCTCACGGGCTAATCGTCCAAAGCCCATGGAGCGAATTTACTCCTCATCCTCCTCAGCCTCGTCGTTGACGACGTTGTAGAAGCGGAGCTCGTAAACACCCTTGGAGGTGGAGACGACGCGGAGCCAGTCACGGAGCTGCTGCTTCTTGAGGTACTTCTTGGTGCTGAAAAAGGGAATAGTGGTCAGAGGGGTGCTGGGAATGGCGTGCAGTCGTATGCGCGGAGGGGAAAGACTCACAGGTACTTCAGGTAGCGGCCGGAGAAGGGGATGTGAGCAACAACCTCAACCTTGCCATCGCCAACCTGGGAGATGACAACCTGGTCACCGAGGTTACCGACACGGCCCTCGACCTTGATGCGGTCGTGGAGGAACTTCTCGAAAGCGGAGACATCGAAGATCTTGTCGCTAGCGGGCTGAGAAGCGTTGATGATGAACTGCGGAAGTGCTGTTAGTATCTTCGCGCCGCAATGGGTTGGGTTGTAGATTGTGTAAGTGTTGACATACCTTGTGGGTGACCTTCTGGGCCTTGCGACCACGGGTCTATTGAATGAAAGATTGAATTAGCCTACTGCTCCATAAGGTCGGAATCCCCATGGCAGTCTCGAGGAGTCTTGCTTAGATCGAGGCAGCGACATAGATAGATCTTTCAATATCTAGTATCGGCCGGAGAGCGCAACAAGAGTCCGTCGAGGCATGCCCACGGGGGGAACAGCAAAGCGGTTCGCAGTATATTTTCAACGTACAGCAGCGGGAGCCATTGTGACTGTGAGGGGGATGGATTGGACTTTGGTGAAAAGGGTCGCAAAGAGGTGAATATCCTGCGCCGGTCGAGAGGGATGGGGAGAAGATCTCGCCGAGTGGAGCCCGCCTGCAACATGAAAATTCGCCAGCGCCCGCGGAGCGTTGTGTGCGCTATTCCTGTTTCGGATAGACTTAGGGCAAGGGTAGCAGGCAGCATGTGTCTTGACCCGGGTCAGGTGACTTCCACTGTGGATGCTGGGTCCCTTGTTCCAGATCCGCTCTTATTGGCTCGCATAAACGAAGCTAATGGGGCAGAATCCCTGGACTGACCGCCCTTCCCCTTCCCCTGAGGGTATAAATATTTCCTGCCTCCCGCCACCTTCCTCTTCTTTTTTTCTTTCCAGCTCTCTTTGCCAATTGGCTTAGATCAAGTGTAGTATCTGTTCTTTTCAGTTTAATCTCTGAAAGTTTTCCAATGGAAAACAACTTTGATTATTCTCATTTTTGGATCCCGCGGCTTGGCCTCTGTGCTTGCGCATGCCTCGCCGCACCGTGTCATCGGGCTTACACTATCTCCGATCGACGCGAACACCCTTTTTCATCAATTATGTCGGCTTGTCTGACTGCTTGGAGAAGATCTGGCTGTTCAATTCTTTCAATAACCGGTTGTAAATATAGTTCTTACATTGCGGGTAGTTCCATGATAAGCGATGTATTGATTTTTACCTGTACGTACCCTGGAACCAAATCGTGACATGTCCATGCCCGGATATTGTACACACTACTTCCCGCCAGCACATGTCCCTCAAGGCGAACAGCTGGATCCTCATACACCGTATGCCGTATGCCAGTTTGAAAGCTCACGTATGTAGAAGTCATGACTTGAAAATTAGGGTCGTGACAAGCCGCCCGCTATCCTAATGCAAGGTCACGTGAGTGTGCTTTATCGCCAGTCCCGCCTTGCGATAAGCTCAAGCTCTCCAACAAATTGAAGCCACCCCAATTTTCTCAGCTACGAAGCCCCCCGGGTCTTGCTCATATTTCAAAGCCCCTCCGTCATGGGTTCTATTGTTCTTCCTCACCTTCGCAGTGCCTGGCACGTGGACCAGGCCATTCTATCGGAGGAGGAGCGCCTCGTGGTGATCCGCTTTGGTCGTGATCACGACCCGGACTGTAAGAGACCTCTTTTGTGTTGTGGTCGCAACAAGTGCTAATATTCCGTGCACAGGTATTCGCCAAGATGAGCTGCTCTACAAGATTGCCGAACGCGTTAAGAGTAACCCGCCCGACTTTGCCTCTCGAGAAGAAGACCCGAATGCTAATGCGCCTTTTGACAGACTTCGCGGTTATCTACCTGTGCGACATCGACGAAGTACCCGATTTCAACCAGATGTACGAGCTTTACGATACAATGACGATGATGTTCTTCTATCGCAATAAACATATGATGTGCGATTTCGGAACGGGAAACAATAACAAGTTGAATTGGGTGCTGGAGGATAAACAGGAACTGATCGACATCATCGAGACCATTTACAAGGGTGCGAAGAAGGGTCGCGGTCTCGTCGTCAGTCCCAAGGGTACGATCTCTCCGACCCTTCGCGCAATGATACTTCAGAGGCTAACCGCTTGCAGATTACTCCACGAGATACCGGTATTAGAGAAGGCGGTACTAAAGAAGGCTTGTTTAGGAGAGCGGTGGCACTGGATGTGCTTCTCTCATGGCTGTCTTCCATATTATGATATTTACGATAGACACCGCTGGAAATGAGCTAGCGAGAAACTAAAACTCAATACCTGTGCTTTGTGATTGCTGCCCGGCGAGCCTATCTCACGGCCAAGGAAAATCTGCCATTGGCAGCTCACATGGCCTAGGACGACACCACCAAAAGTAACCACAGACTAGCCGTTGCAGCAGAATCTCAAGGGTTTTTATACAGCGGTTCGCCGAAATTTCAATATAATTCCCAAAAGAAGTCATCTCCCCCAGTAGATAGTAGGAAGGGGTTCGAAAGTCATTCATTCTCCGTAGCAGTAGTACACTGTGAGAAAATTTTAGAAATTCACTTTAGTGGCTATAAAATCAGAATTTTTGAAATATCCATATCTCTCTTGCTAACCATATCCCGCGTGGTGGTTATTTGCCTGAAATTTGACGTAAGGCGCTCGACTTCAACACCGCACTCAACCCGCCGCAACATCTTAACTTCACCTTCATTTCACTTCTCACACCCACACAACTCGCGAAGATGATTGACCAACGTATTTTCGAGGATCTCCAGACGAAGATTGATGAGGAGACCACCGTTCGTGATGTAAGTCGCCCGCACCCGCGCCTGCGACGTGCTTGTCCACGGATTTTTTCCGTGCCAAGCCTGAAGCCGTTGCGCACAACAGTCATCAGAAACTCACCTTCGTGAACAGGAACTGCACGAGATTGTCCAGACGCTCGCTAGGAAAGGTAATTTTCTCAGCACTTTGGGCCTGATGTTCTAGAGCTTCTCACTCCAAGAGTAAAGGGCTGATCGAGCTATGCGCGGCTCCACCAAATCAAGACCGGATACTGATGAGCGATTTCTATAGGGCGCTCGACACAAGCTATCCTCGCCAGGGCGCACTCGACCCCCAGTGATAAGTGTACGTACGAATCGATCGTGTTCTGGTGGTGAAACTTTGCTCCTTTAAGATTCTCCTCTAATCCACCCCTACCTTCCCGGGTAGTGCGTGTTGGTGTGATCTCTGGGACCCCAGCGTGGCTGATATAACGACAATAGTGCAACCCGTCCTTGACGATGCCACCGCCAGCATTATTGCACAGAAAGAAGAAGTCGCTCGCTTGAGAAGTGTTGCCGATAAACACCCATTCTACAAGTACAATGGGCTGTGGTCGCGCGAACTCCAAAACCTGGTTCGTCCAACCCCAAGCTGTCAACCTCCGAATGATTCTAATTCGAACATACAGGTCGCATCAGTTGAACTGTGTGCTTGGCTAGGTGGACTCCCAGAGCACAAGGGCCCAGATTCGGCTTCATTCATGACGATCGAAGACGTGGGAAGGTTCCTGGATCGTATGTTCACACCGTTTTGCCATGATTTCCTTTCCGTATCGATTTGGTTTGGAAAGAGACTTACGGTGCTGTCTTCTCACAGTTCCCATCAACCTGAAGGAACAAGATGCGTTCCACCTGACCATCGAGGAATATCTCCTGGCGCTGATTGCCATGGTTGAGGAACTGGTCAGTATCTTTCCCCCACGGTCGTCAGGAGTCATCTTGTTTAACTTCTCCACAGTCTCGTCTGGCGGTTAACTCCGTAACTCTGGGCGACTATGAGCGTCCCCTTCAGATCGGCAACTTCATCAAGGACCTCTTTTCTGGATTCCAGCTTCTCAATCTGAAGAATGATATTCTACGCAAGCGCAGCGATGGAATTAAATACAGCGTTAGTCACTGTTCTTACTAGAGCTAATTTCGCCAACAAGATACTAACTCGCCGCTCTACCTACAGGTTAAGAAGGTCGAAGATGTCGTCTACGACCTTTCATTGCGAAACCTGATCCCCAAGGGTGGTGCTACTGCATAGGGCTGTTCAACATTGTGACGGAATGGAATTCGAGGAAGGTCAAAAGATATGACAAAGCCCACCGGGGCCAATAAAAGGAAAAGGGAGGTACTAATTCCGATTTAGCAACAGGCAATATGAACGGACTATCAATTTTGAACCATCCGAAGATATCAAAGTGCCAAAAGAAGACGTAAAGATTTCCTTCAAGCTCGCTTTCGGTCATGACCTGTAGCTCAGATGTAAGCTCCTAGTCACATTCCTCGATTCGAATGATAGTGAAATTCACGAGCCACCCAGACCAGTGGGCTTGGAACTCGGCTATTATCTACCCATCACAATAGCTCTATTTTCCAAACAAAATGACTTAAATTAGAACCGAGAGAGAGAATGCCTCGTATCGAGTATTTTTTTAATGGAGGTAGTGCGGCACTTACAACCCCAGGTGATCAACGGTAGTGCCTCATTCGGCCTCCCGAGAGCTTCGTTCTCTCAGCCCGGGGTTCAAAATATGGGGATGAGAGGGTCAAATATGTGGAGTGAGATACAAATTGGCGAAGCAGCATTCACTATGGGAATTGAGATCCGACTTTGCTTAAGTGGGCTGGATTGTTTCGAACGACCTCGACACGAGGTTTCCATCGCCCGTAGTTCTGTGGTGGGGCGGCCGTCGACCAGAACCGATCATCTCCCACGGGGTAGGAAGATTGGCGCTGAAAACGGATCTAGTGACGAAAGGACTCCCAATAATAATTCAATCTGGTCTTGAATCTCATTCAGCTCGCCACGGTATCTCCTACTTGTGATACTGAGCCTACGGGGTTGCCAAGATCGGAGAAGCCACGATGATGCTTTGCCTCAAGCCGAGACACTTCATTGTGCGTGGGTAATTTAGTTACTAGAAATAGCATGGAACTTGCAAGTGGAAGCTTAACTCGTCTCAATTTATTTCACCTTTGTTTAGTCTACAATCCCCAAAGGCTGGTTTTGGTGTGCCATTAAACAATGTCTGTCAAACACTACTTTCCTTCAACAAGTGCCAACTCATTGGTTCCCAGAGGGCTGCGAGCTCTTGTATCTGCAAATGATCATCTAAGCTTGAACTATGGTGAGCGAGTCGTTGCCAATGCCTATCATGATGATTCAAAAGTGAGTATCATCAGTGGTGGAGGATCAGGGCACGAACCAGCATGGAGTGGCTATGTCGGCGACGGTTTAATCTCAGCTGTTGCATGTGGTGATATTTTTGCATCACCAAGTGCGAAGCAGATTCTTACTGCTATTCGAATGGCACCCTCCAAAAAGGGTGTTATTCTCTTGATCACCAACTATACCGGTGATCGTCTTCACTTTGGCCTTGCGGCCGAAAGGGCCAAAGCCGAAGGCCTGGTTGAAAACATTGCCATCTTACATGCGACTGATGACGTTTCAATTGGAAGAAGCAAGAATAGCCACATGGGAAGGAGAGGCCTCCCTGGCCATGTCTTCAGTAAGTTCTTCTCCTTTTTAGTCCAATGGTTACTGTCGACTAATGGACCGTAGCAATGAAGATAATCGGTGCTGCCGCTGCGGAAGGCTACTCCTTTGAGCAATGCCTTGCGCTTGGACAAGCCGTCAATGGTCACACGGTCACAATTGCCTCGGCGCTCGACCACTGCCATGTTCCAGGTAGACATCAACAGTCGACCGTACCAGACGATGTGGTCGTTGTTGGTGCCGGAATTCACAACGAGCCTGGACAACTTCACATTTCTCCCGCCCCGTCAGTTGAAGAGATCATCGAGCGGTGCCTCAAGCTTCTGTGTGATGAGACCGACACAGAAAGAGCATTCGCCAAGTTTGAGACGAATGATGAAGTCGGGCTGTTGATCAACAACTATGGCGGTCTTTCCGTTCTTGAACTATCTGCCCTGGCCGATGAAATCCAAATCCAGTTGAACTCACGCTGGAATATGAAACCTTGCAGGGCCTTATTTGGTGCATTCGAGACGTCTCTCAACGCACCGGGCTTCTCGATCTCCCTATGCAATCTTACTGCCGCAGCTCAGCAATCGAGTGAATCTGTCGCTACCTTGATTCGCCAATTTGATAGCGCCACAACTGCCGTCTCTTGGCCCAATACCACTCGCCCCTCTTCTTCTCAAAAGAAGATTTCTCTCGAGGATATCGATGCCCAAGAAAACGAACAAAAGGCAGCATCTGACAGCATTAACTTCGACTCTTCTCGACTAGAGAAGGGTTTAAGGGTTGCATGCGAGAGAGCAATTTCGGCCGAGCCAAAGTTGACGCAGTGGGACATGGTCATGGGCGATGGTGACTGTGGTGAGGCCGTTCTAGGCCTGGCCGAATCTATCTTGCTCAGAGTTGATAAAGGATGCGCGCAATCTGGCGATGTACTGGAAGTCATTCGCTCAATTTTGCAAGACGTTGACGACATGGGAGGAACCCTCGGTGCAATTTTTGGAGTTCTTCTATCAGCCCTAGCGACAGCTCTGAGGACCAATCTGTCTCAGGGAAAGATAAGCCCTTCGACATCACAATTCTATGCCGCAGCCTTGGCATCCGCGGTGACAGCTTTAAAGTCACACACTGGAGCACGGGAAGGAGATAGAACTGTCATGGATGTTCTCCTACCCTTTGACGAAAAGTTCTCCGAGACCAATGACTTTGTTGCTGCAGTTAATTTAGCTTCAGAGAAGGCAGAGGCAACAAGATATCTCAAGGCCAAGTTTGGGCGAGCGACATATGTTGGAGAGGCATCGAGCCAAGAACTGCCAGACCCGGGAGCTTGGGCATTCTACGAGATTGTTGCTGGATTAGCGGATGGACTTGGACTCGTTCCAAACTAATTTACTTTATTAGGGGGTCGAAGGCTCCTGGGTTATCAAAATATTATGCTATGATAAGTATTCAAAATAACAACAAATAGACTTCTTTTTTTGATTCCTGCCAAAGTATTCTACGGGAATTTTCAATACATGTACTTGATAGAAATGAGATACTTTGCAGCATGTGGATGAGGACGGGTCCCATTTGCCACTTATTGGACGGTTGCATTGTGACTCCTGTGTCTTCGTGCATGGATGCAAGCATATCCTCTCGTGGTGCACGCGTAAAGATAGAAAAACAGAGTCGGCTGGTCTTTTTCAAAAGAATGAATTTCAGGCTCTCGCTCTGGCAACTCCGAATCTTTGCGAGATGATCACAATTTGACAGATTTGGAATGCAGCTCGAAAGGACAGTGGGTTCTGATCCTTGAATGCCTTACTAACAAGCTGTTCGGTTGCACTCCAGTTCAAAAATCCAAGAGCCTCTATATTCTCTTGCGAAATCAGGCGCATGAACAACTGATGTAGAGGTCCGTTCTCGGGAAATTTCGTTGGTCCCATATATGGTTTCTTTGGCCGCTTGTAGATCTCATCGGTAACAAAAGGCCGCACCGCCTCTCGAAGGATATACTTCTCTGTCAAAGACTTATCCGGCAAAGAACATTTGATCTTCAAGCTAGGCGGTAGGTTGTTAACATATGCAGTGAGGTGGTGATCTAGAAATGGGGGTCTAGTTTCAACATGGTGTACCATATCGACGTTATCTCCAAGATACCGAAGCAGCAAATTGGGAAAAAGACCTTTCGTAAGAATATACTCTGCGGTATGCAGTGGATGCCAGCGATTGATGATTAAGTCACGAACTCGTCCGTCGAGGCCTTCTACCTGTGCGGTTTCCGGGTGCGTGACCGCAAAGGTCTCAGTCCACGGAGCGAACGGTAGACGGGAGACTAATGCGAGTTTGGTAAGAACCGAGATGTTGTTGAGCATTTTACAGGTCGACTCTGGTAACGATCTGACAGCTTTGGTGGCTAGGTATGCTGCATGATCGGGACCGCATTGATGCTGTGATAATTCTGCGAGCTCTGCCTCGGACAGCGAGGGAGACCATGAGAGATCGCTTTCCAGCAAAAAGTCGTTTGCCAACTCTTTGTATCCTCCAAAATGCTCGTCGGATCCTTCTCCTGTGGACGCAAGACTTCTTAGCTTTTAGAGAGAGGCCAGTACACGTGAATCAGACAAACCTGTTAATATCACTTTGATACCGTGAGATTTCGCGGCTTCGGCCATGGCTAGTCTCCCGATACCGTTTGTGTCAGGCAAGGGCACTTCACTGTGCCAGATAGTATCTTCAAATTTAGATGCGATGGTTTCTTCGGTGATAGGCACGGGATGAAATTCGACACCGAGCCACTCAGCGGTACGCTGTGCAATATCTGATAAAGTCAATATCCCGATGAAAGAAATAGCTAAACATGGAGGAATTCATACCTGACTCGTCAGCTCCACTATCTTTATCAAACTGTACGGTAAAGCACTTCATCCGAGAGATAAGATGGCTCTGATCGTTCCCCACTCGAGCTCCTTCTTCTTTAACAAGGTGAGCCACCATTCCAGCGACCGCCGAGGAATCAATTCCACCACTGAGATAGATCCCCACAGGCACGTCGGCACGAAGTCGAACCTTGATGGCTTCCATAAGATGGTTTCGCACACCCTCGGTCATCTCAGATTCTGATCGAAGCTCGGGGGTATTCTGGATAAATATTAGCGGCCAGGGTCGGTGTATTTAAAACCCTAAATATTGTTGGTCTACCTTGTCTGGATATTCCGCATCCCAATAGACGGCATCCCTGATAGGACTGAAGTTGCGGCTTGAAATATAGTGACCCGGAGCAACCTGAAAATCATCAGAAAGACTCGAGGGATGGGTAGTATGGAGGGGCAACAAACCGACTGAACCCCTTTGAACATTGTCCCAGTACCGAACACCCAACCACACTCTCGAAGACCTTGGACATCCCACTCGGGTTTCCAACCAAATGGTAGAAAACACTTCATCTCGGTTGCCACAAGTAGCTGATTGTTCACGATTGTATAGTAGAGCGACTTCACTCCAAATCGGTCTCTCGCGCCGATGAATACCTTTCTGCGAGCATCCCACAAGATAAAAGCGAATTCACCTCGGAGGTGGGATAGAAACGATAAACCGTAGTGCTTATAAAGAGCCAGGACAATCTCACAGTCACTTCGACTGCGGAAATCGTATTCGGAACCCAGGAGATTTCGGTAGTATTCATCGTCATAAAGCTCCCCATTCACGATTGCATGAACATCATCAACGCTATCATGGAATGGTTGATTTGCTTCCGGGCTAAGGTCAACGATAGATAATCTGACATGTCCAAGGGCTGAAGAAAAATTAAAAAAAAAAAATCAGTATCTTAGTGTGCGTGTGTGAGTGTGATCACCCCTATCCACGAGAGTCCAATTCATATCAAGCACTTACAAACTTTTCCATCATCGCTGGTCCATGTACCACGGGCATCGGGTCCACGGTGCTGAACAAGATCCAAGCTTGCATCAAGTTTACCATCCAAGGGTAATGAGTGTTCCTCACTCGAGGATGCAGGATGGCTCCCGAGAGAAAGAACAGCAGTGATTCCACACATTATGGGTTGTTATTAAGACCTGATGACTGTATTTGAGTGTAGGCCCGAGGCTGAAAATAATTGAGCACTTTGCAAGTGAAAGAGAAAGACCTCCCTCTGCACTCCTATATACTGTTTAGACCTTGACGCCATGATATACAATCATCAAACGTCGCAAGTTCTAACCGGATTGGTCACAGCGTAGCACGCCTAGCCCGAGGAGCGGGGCATCATTGGGGCCAGGGTCGGGGGCGGAAATTAAAGCAACGACCTAAACAAGGATAAAGTGGAATCACAGAGCTGTCCTTATTAGTCAAAAAGAACCGGCTCGTAAGGATGTAAAGTGGAAAGTCTCGCTTGCATTAGCTTGATATGTTGCGCACGATCCTTTACTTCATCTGTACCGATTTGCGAGGATTGAAATATGAATTACTGGATATTATTCATGCGGTATGCTGCATAGATGACGAGCCTAGTTCGTACAATAATTAAACAGATCAGGGGTAGGTACAGGTATATAACTGGTATAAAAGACAGGGCTCGGGGCCAACCAAACGCCTAGGACGACTTGGCCTGTTCTCCTGAGGCAAGAGTGCCAGCCGCCTTGGCCTTCGCGATCTCCTTCTCGATAGGGTCTTGCAGAGACTCGGGCTTGGTGAGACTGCTCCAGCGACCGACGACCTTTCCGTCAGCAGAAACGAGGAACTTCTCAAAGTTCCACTTGACGGGCTTGTAGCCCATAAGGCCAGGCTGCTGTTCCTTCAACCAGCTGAAGACGGGGGCGGCCTCGCTGCCATTCACATCGAGCTTGCCGAGTACGGGGAATGTCACGCCATAGTTGAGCTGGCAGAAGGATTGGATGTCATCGTTGGAGCCGGGGTCTTGGCTGCCGAACTGGTTGCAGGGAAATCCGAGGATGGTGAATTGTTCGGGGTAGCGCTCCTTCAAGGTCTGGTAGAGCTTTTCGAGGCCTTCAAACTGCGGGGTGAAGCCACACTTGGACGCGGTGTTCACGACGAGAACGACCTTGCCCTGGAGGGAGGTGAGAGGGAAAGTCTCGCCCTTCTCTATAAGGTCAGGTTAGCTCATGTATCTCGATTTGCGCCGGCTAAGACTCGCGCGGTCAGAGGGGGAGGAGTGCGAGGGGAAAGAACATGGAACACGTACTGTCGACGGGCTCGAAGTCGTAGAAAGTGGTAGCGGCAGCCATGGTTCTGATTTGATGGTGTTGGTGGGGGGTTGGAAAGGGAGAGAAGGTGAGTGCGGAGGTGATGGATTTGGATTTGGATTTGAAGCTCGGGTGGCACGATCGCAATGACGTCGACGAGGAAGCGGGGAGATACGAGAGGAACCGCGGTAATTTAGGGTGGACTTGGCGAGGAAGAACTTGAACTAGAATGGCGCGCAGGCCGTGGTTTTGTAGGAGGACGAGCCGAGGTGCCATTGCAGAATAATTTGGAATTACTCGTAGGTATTACCAATGATCACAGGTCCAGATCCCGGAGGGGTGATGAGCCGACGGGTGCTTTCTGACGCCGCGGGTCCGAATGATTTAGACGTTTGTTAATTGGAGGATGGAAAATCATCGACGGCGGTGCATTTACCCAGGAAGGTTAAGCACCGAATGACCTGACCCAGCCAACTCAGCCATCCCATCCCGTTAGCCCATTATTAAGCTTATCGGGTCTAGATCGACGCTTTGTGCGGTTAACAATGGCAATGCATAACTATTGGATTGGGTTATGTATCTCTGGTCTGGTTTTCTAGAAGCTCTATCGAAACTTGATTTTCTTCTTTGAAGGTACATGTAGCTTGTAGAACCCTCGGAACCTGTGTTGCCGCGCGTTCCTAAGGTTCTGCTGAAGAAGAGAATCCACCCCAACCCTGCTTCTTCTAATCCACCAAATTCTGCAGCTACGATCAAATCGCACGCCATTGTGAGGGACATCCCCGATCTGTATGCATGCATACTACTTCTGGGTCACTTCAAATCCCTTCCTTCCGTCATGGCGATTTCTGAGGAGGCGTCTTGGTCCAGGGTTTCCACCAGTCGTGACCTGAGCTCCCCAATAATCCCAGGAATGGCCAACGAGGGTCGAGTCGCAACTTCCAAATCACTCGAAGCTCTCAGTTCTGGAAGACTTGCGACTCGGTCACAAATCATTTTCAATGTTGCTGCTGGACACCACGTTGGTGTCATTTTGCATGGCAAAATAGACCAATTCCGGCCACCATGTATGCAAGCCAGTTGAAATTGTTGGCATTTTAGATACCGAATAGCCAGTTTCTTTGCTTAATTCATCCTTCTCTTTCGGCCTTAAGCACATCAACATCCAGCTCTGCCATCACGCCAAGGACAACACCAATACTCTCCATGAACCCATTGACGGCGACACGAAGCATACGGTTTGTTGTGGCACGGTATGTGGTCTGCAGAACAGTATTGGACTCTTCGGGTTCTTGCTTCTGCTTCTTCTCCTGGGGTTTCAGCGGAGGCGTTCGGAGTAGGAGCTGCGAGGGCGAAGGTGCGTCGTACGAATGGTGACAATTCAGCGTCGACCTCGAGGGTTTGTAGAGCAGACAATGCGAGACGGTGGGTCGGCAACGGGAGGGAGATGGTTCTAAATCATGTATCAGCATTTCCCATGTCGCATGGGTATCCCATTTATGGATCAGTGTGCGGCCATGAAGGTGGGGTGGCACATACAAAGAGTAGGGGAATTCAGAGTCAGAAAGTTGAGTAGCGGCCATGATGATTCCGTAGCTTTGCACAGCTCAATAACTCAAAGTTTTTTTTTGGTTTATCGAGATGACAAACTTTGAGGTTAGACCGAGAGGAATGCTTGTGTTGAATCTGCTTGTCTTGGACATTTCGTTCACCAAATCGAGGGCCCTTGATCATGTGACTCGGGATCAAGAAGGGGCTCACGTGAGAGAAGCATTTACCTCAAATATGAGGACCTCATCCTCCGAGTCGAACGCCTTAGACCACTCAAGCAAACTGCCTCTGGAGTCTGTTATTGAGCGACAATCACTTACTATACCAAGTCTTAGAAATTTTGTCTAATTTGGTATGTTTGATCACCGGGCCTGAGGCCTGGGGCATCCAAAAGGATTACTATTACTTTGGTGTTTGGAACTTGTGAACTTTTACTATAATTGAATTATTTTGGCCAGAAATGCCTAGTAGTGCATATATCTATCAGTCAATTAGTTGAGAAGTGATATTCAAAAGTGCTATTGCAAGGCTCCAGGGCTTCGAGTCACGGTCCTTTGCAGGCTCGGATCTACTACCAGGGGCCCCGGGATTTTAGTGCGGATATATATTACCAAGTACTAGCACCACTCCACCGTGACAAAATTAGTATATTCCAAGGTTTGAACTTGAATGATCCGACTCAGAAGTCCCTCCATGACCACTAGAGATACTACGATACTTCCATTGGCTTTATAACCTCCAATGCCAATTATGGAAGGTATCAATCTCAGCTCCGAGGATTGAATACTATGATATTCCAATGTGTTAGGTACTAGCCTCCTACCTAGGTAGGTACGAGGTTAGATTCACATCCTGTACTCGTTCGATAGAGTCTAGCATTTCCTTTGACTACACAATCATGATGACAGTGTCTAATTGAAGTATACATGAGCATTTGCGCCAGGGAAACCAGGTGTTAGGTCTGCCGGTGCTAGTGTGGTCGTCTCGCCCAAGACCGGCGCCTATCGCGGAGACGCGAGCCCATAGAGAAGGGAACCTCATATGTTTGTGACCGAAAAATACAGACCACTGGATATTTACTACAACGACTAATTTTGAATATAGGTATAAACAATGCAATTTGGTATTAGAGGGGAAAAAAAGGCAAGACATTCTCTCGGAGAAGTAACTTCCCAGCTCGTTCAGCACGGGTCATATAGAAATAGCAAAGGCACTCGTGAAAGTATTATACAACGTCTCTCAAAGGCAAACCCTGGGATATACACCCATGGTAGATGGAAGAAATGAAAACAAGAATATAAATATCGCGCCGACCAAATGAAGTCATGACACCTTTTAATGCATATTAAACCCCGCGAAAATATTTCGACCTAGGAAAATTTTCGGGATTTATGCGACAGCGAGGTTGGCAATGACGCGCTGGACAGCACCGGTAGGGTCGTTGATATCGGAAGGGTTGAGCTTGCCAGCGGCCACGATCATTTGGAGGTTGGCCAGAGCACCGTAAATGCCGCTGGGGTCTGGAAGTAAGGTCAGAAAGGGACCCAGAAGGCTATGAGAGGAGATACATACTGCCGCTGAGGCCTGCGAGAACATCAGTGCCGGTCTGCTGCATGGTGGCAGGAAGGTTGCCGAATTGACGCTTGACGTCTGGGAGAGGTCAGTAGAGTAATGAGACTTGGATATGTCAAAACGTACGAGCCAGGCCATTGGAGACAGTGTTTTCGGCAGTTCCAGCAACACCACCAGTAGTGGACTCAACGGTACCGACGGCACCACCAACGACACCTGTTCCGCCGTTAAGGGTGCTTGCAACAGCCTCAGAGACGGGCTGAATGGGATCCTTGCGACGCAAAAGACCATCTTCCAAGGGGCGCACGACCTCCTCGACACTGTTTTTAATCTGACGCTTGGCAGCTGGATAAAAGGTTAGTTGTAAGCTGGGATTCTAGTCGAACACAATAAAGCTTACCACCCAGAACGCCGGTGACACTGTTCTCAGCAGTGCCGGCGGCACCTCCGACTGTGCTCTCGACAGTGCCCACGGCACTACCAACAACACCAGTACCGCCGTTCATGGAGCTAGCCACACTTTCAGTGACTGGCTGGATATATTGGAGCTGCCGCTTGGCAGCGCCGGTGACGATACCACCAGCGGTACGCTCGAGCCCACCAATGGCTCCCTCAGGGACGGACATGTTAGGGAGACCGACAGGGGGCAGGGCAGCGGAGGAGACGATGCCGACAAGGGCGAAAGAAACAGCGATTCCAGTGAACTTCATGTTTGCGTTTTGTGAAATAAAAGATTCGAAAGAATGACCTGGTTGGGAATGAATGTGTACAGGGAAGAGTGGGAAGTTGAAAGAGTGACTCGAGATTGAATGAATGACTGGAGCTGAGGAATAAGACCAGAGGGCTGGATTCATTGCAGATTTATACAACTTCTGCTCGTTGTTGTTTATGAGCTCCCACCTGCTGCATCAACTCCTCACATGCAACACAGCTGCGATCATCAGGGGAACAGAGTTTCTCCGTGGCGATAATTTCGTTCGTTATTTCCGCAACAAATCACGATCTGCATGAGATCCAAGCCATCCGCCGCACTGGATATGTAATTTGGGTGGTCCATATCCAGGCTCAAGGGATGTTTCCACATGGGCCCCAATACAAACTCCCGGCCTGGCAGTCGAAAGTTTCGGAGCAGGCGGTCTACTCGATATGGATAAGCTCAACTGTCTATCAGCAAGGTGCAAAGTTGGACTGGCTGACTATTAGCTGATGGAAGCTTGTACTGGGCTTTGCTAATAGCATTTTTCATCGTGGATGTCAGGTGCCATCACTTGAGAGGGATAACGTCTCGACAGCCAGTCCGCAGCCGGAATGGTTGACCGAGACTCTCTGAATACACATTTTGTGTATATTGTCGCTAGTCCAGAAAACCAAGCTCGTGAGCACAGAACTGAGACCTCATTTTGTTTTGCATGCGAGGGATACGGTACGGTCCACCGCACCGACCTATCCAGTGGAGGTGTAGGCAAGGGTCGCGGTTCATGCGCAGGTCCATGAATAGCTTCCATAGTGCCATGCCGATCACCAAAAAACTCATGTCAGGACTCTTAACAAGCTCAGGAGATTTGCTCGCTGTGGTCAACGTTGAAGAGAAGCTCGACCGTTGAATATCCTTGCATCTATCGCATTGGCCCGACCGAGGCCGCCGAGATTCATTTACCCCTTTTTGAGAGCACGGACAAAAGTCTTAGCACGGTCCGCTGCGACATGCGAGACCATGGTATTGATTTTATGCCGCCTAAAGGCGCGAGATGTTTCAGCAGATGAAAGAATACAATCAATGTCGAATGGTAGGATTTGTGTTGTGTACTGCGATCAATCAAGCTCTGACCCGCGGGACCAATCAAGCCGGGCCGGTGGAGATTGGAGGATTGCCGATCTGCCAGGTTTGTTTGATTGTATACAAACAATCAAACAACTAAACAATAACACCGTCGTGAAGGACGACAAGCGGCGGGTGGCAACAGCCCTAACCGCCTGGGCTCGGGGATGACGGCACCCCGCCCAGATGGGTCTTGCTGTCTGATCTCACGGTCGCGGCTTCAAGGGATGGCGATTTCCTTTGAGCATGATGTTGCATCACTGTGTAAAGTCAGGAGGGTACCGTGACTCGGTGCGAGGGCTAGAGTCCAAGATGGCATAAGAAAAGGAGATGCCGCGGAAAGGGGTGAAATTAAGGGAAGAGCAAGAGGCTCCATTTCGACGAGCACAATGGGTTGACCTCTGCCACTCAAGGCAACTGCCCCAACATAGCCAAGGCGGCCAACAAGAACACTGTGACACTTCTGTGGTGGTCATACGGAATGTTCATACTATGCCTGGGTTGCCCCTTTCAGGCGTCTACAATGCGGAGACAGAGACCGGAGACCGGAGAGGATATGTGGTACGGAATTTTTGAGATTCCAAACCGAGAGTCTAGAGGGAATTCAAAGCAAGATGAATAGTGCAAGATGACTACTATTCAGTTATTGTTATTGGAATTACCCCGAAGGAGGTACACACAATAAGAATACTTCATGTCGTTCCCCGATGACTAAGGTGTCAACGGTATTGATGCCTCAGACTGCAGGCATCTACCGTTGTCGAGCCAACGCTCCACGCTAACCCCAGAATGGGCATGCACGGTCCAGGCCAAACATAACATCGGCTTAGCGTGGCATGGCAGCTGCCCATATGAGATTCTTCTCTGTTTTCCATATCCCACCCCTCTTCCCCATCTCTCGTCCTGTACAGCCTGGACTCTGACTTCTTCTCTTCTTTTCTCTTCTTACTCTCGTCTCTATTCTTATCTTCATCCTTTCGAGGCTCCCCATTCCCCCACCACAATCATCTAATTCGCGCACTTCCGATCCATCAGATCATGAGCGTTTGAGATCTTCCATCTTTTCATTGTCGACGACCTGCGATTCCAATCGCAACAATTGTCCTGGCCCGCGCTCACAGAGTTGATCATTATTCATTACCGCTGTGATCTAAACTCTTGCCGTGACCTTCTTTTCCCCAAATCTCTTTATACCTGTAATTTCGACAAGCAGACAGTGACAACAACATGACAGTCGATACAGGTCGCGGAGGTCAGATGATCGAGTACATCCAAGGTGAGTTTGTGTCGCCCTGATATTGTCTTCCATTTACTGTGCGTCTTCAAGCGGGGTCTAACAACGCATCGAAACAACAACAGACCGCCTTTACCTGGGCTCTTATGACTCGGCGCCATCTTCAAGAACGCCTTTCCCTTTCCCGCTCGATACAGCCAAGTCTCCAAGCAAGCGATCGGCTCGGGTCCAGCCTACTACGCCGACGAGCAAGCGCCGCTCCCCAGTGTATTTCACGGTCGATGACACCCTTCTTTACAATGCATTCCATGCCGATTTCGGCCCTCTCCACATTGGTCACCTGTACCGCTTCGCTGTGCTCTTCCACGAGATCCTGGGAGACCCAGCAAACAGTGATCGTCCAGTTGTCTTTTATAGCAAGACAGACGCACGCAGTCGTGCCAACGCGGCCTGCCTTGTTGCCTGCTACATGGTTCTGATCCAATCATGGCCGCCCCACTTGGCTCTTGCACCCATTGCGCAGGCTGACCCTCCTTATATGCCCTTCCGCGACGCTGGTTACAGCCAGGCGGACTTCATTTTAAACATTCAAGATGTGGTCTATGGCGTGTGGAGGGCTAAGGAGCAGGGTCTCTGTGGCCTGCGCGATTTCAATCTCGAAGAGTATGTTCTGAATTGCCGCTAGCCTCTTATAACATGATTGGTACTGATTGATATCTGGTATAGATACGAGAAGTTCGAGCGAGTTGATATGGGCGATTTCAACTGGGTCACCCAAGACTTCCTCGCCTTTGCCTCCCCACAACACCAACCCATCGCTCCCGTTCCTGCGAACACCCCCGAATACGATGCGCTCCCATCCAGCATCTCCGAAGTCTTTTCGTCTAAACTCCCTCTTCCTTTCAAGAATGTTCTCGCCCATTTCTCTTCCCGCAACATTGGCCTCGTGGTGCGATTGAACTCCGAGCTCTATAGCCCCTCATATTTTACCGCGATGGGAATCTCGCACATCGACATGATCTTCGAGGATGGTACATGCCCTCCTCTTCAGCTCGTTCGCAAGTTCATCAAGATGGCACATGACATGATCACCATTAAGAAGAAGGGCATTGCTGTGCACTGCAAGGCTGGACTGGGTCGCACTGGCTGCTTGATCGGTGCCTATCTGATTTACCGCTACGGGTTCACTGCCAACGAGGTGATTGCTTTCATGCGTTTCATGCGTCCCGGTATGGTTGTGGGACCCCAACAACACTGGCTTCATTTGAACCAGATGGCTTTCCGAGAGTGGTGGTTCGAGGACAGCATGAAGGAAAAGCTCGCCCAGTCTGCTCCGGCTACTCCTGCTCGTGTTTCGACGAAGAAGCGTCCTAGCAATGGTCAAGTGGCGACTCCCCCCAATAACAGCCACTCTAAGCGCGCGGCCCTGGGGGAAATTGACCACAATGAAGGCGCGGCTAGCCAGCACGAGGAAAATCTTCCCGCCCCTACCCCTGGGCAGCCTCGTAAATCTCATCGCAAAGATTCCCGGCACCACCCTTACTCTAGGACCGCATCAGGTTCTCTAGCTGTTGAACAGAATGGAGACCGAAACCACCGGGGTCACCGCCTGAGCAATGAAAGCAGTGAAAGCGATGAAGAGATTCAATTACGCATGCTCGCCAAGCAGCGAGCATCGCGATCCCCAGTTGCATCACCAACCTCGCGGTCTATCAGCTACTCGGCAACCGTCACTGCTAGCTACACATTAGCAGATGACATTCACGAGGACAGGGAAAACTGGGTTGAGACTGCCGCTCCTAAGACCCCCCTCGAGTCGGAAGAGTGCCAATGGTCCGATCTCGGTCAGCAAAGTTCGCTCCAGCCCCCGGCGGGCAACAGACAGCAACAAGAGTGAATCTCGAGGTGTGCGCAAGCCCAGTGGCCGGGTTGGCAGCGCCTCTAGTCCCAACCGAGTTGCACGCACTGTCCAGTAATGGTCTTTGCCTCTAGCTCCGTGCATCCTCCGCAGCTGTGTTGCGGTCTCGCCTCCTACTATTCTTCTTCGTTCCTATTGGGAAACCTTGTGCATACCCCATTTTTCTTCTGCATTCAAATGCTTTAATGTTTCACCTCTTCGTCTTTTTGCTTTCAATTTTCATCTTCGGGTTTTTATTGCGTGGAATGGGTCCTGGGCATGTTTCGCACGGCGTTTTTGGTCGCACTGATATTGATCCGTGAATGGCTGGATTACTGGGAGGATTGTCATGATCCGGAGCAGGGTCTGCTTCGCTGTAGATTCTGATCGACTTGTTTCTTTTCAATCGTTTCACTGTTTTCGCGCCCATGGTGTGGTGTTCTGTTACGAATTGCTTTTTGTCAGTTCTACGGCGATACGACAATTTGATCTCACGAATTCGCTCAACTTCATTCGTAATAGTGTCATTTCACAACATAGATCATGAGTCTCGTTAATTTGAGAGGAAAATACTGCAGCAGAAGTCCTCTCTCATCCTCTCTATCGTTCACTCTATGTTATAGGTTCCAGTTGGTATTGCCCAGTGTCGTATCATCGTAACATCACAGTCCCACTCCACGTCCCCGTCTCCTCTAAACTGTCAGTCGAGCCAGGTGTCTCAATTGCACATGTGACCACCTCAAATGCTTCCAGTCCCATCGACGCAGCCACCAAATCGAGCCATTTTTCTGGAGGGGGCAGATTTTGCCTATGACCCGACGACCCTGAGTCCCCATTCCCATACGCCAATTTCGAGACGAAGCGAAACGGCAAAGGGTCTGATATTTGGGTCTCTGTTTGACACTCTGAACTAGGTGTAGAGTTCTGCACTTCATAACGTTGGAGAAAATCGAGCAAGAGACGAAGTATATAGAAACAATTATCGGTGCCACGTAGGACACTATTGGCAAACTCCTGCGGGAATGTGGATGGGATGGGGCCGATGAAAGGACCTTTGTCACCGCCGTCAGCGGTTGCGTTGTCAAGGCATTGATAAGTTTCCACCGTCGCAGCCAGACGCAGCTGTGCAGAAAGTGCATGCAGTGTCTGGTCACTGCACTGTACTTGGGCTGCTAGTCGGCGAGCTGCTTTCTGCGGATCTGGCATAGTATGCAGTCTGCGCGCCTGGTATAGAGAAGACCGGGCACCTTGGAGACTTCCATAAAGATACGGTCTTGTAGGTCGATAAATAATGCAATAGCTTCATCAACTCGTGGAGAAGCCATGTCCTCCCATCTCACTTGGTCAATATGCGCCTGCCACTCTGGTCTCTCGAAGATACATCGTCGTCCATTGACAAAGGCTTCGGCAACGAGGAAGCTACGGAAGGATAGGTACAGGCAACGATCGAACCCGGTGAGATGGGCAGCAGGACCGCGATGCGCCATGAGCAGGGCTGTACCGGCGGCATGGCGGGCCCAAGAGTCGGAATTTGTACGGGAGTATGCTTCGAAAAGACTGAGTGCGATGGTGATGCTCACGCTCTCGGAGGTTTTCATCGAATCGGGGTCGCAGATTCGATCTCCAAATAGCCGCAGCGCCTTGCTGTATACCTCACGACTAGAGCTTTGAAGCCGTGTATTCTTATGTACATGGCCCATGTGCATTGAATTGACACAGTAGACAGCCGCATCGAATGCGGGGCTCTGGCCTATATTCTGGGCAATGTATTGAGTCCATGGAACGTGAACTCGGTATTTATTAAGTCCAAACCAGCGTGTGAAAGCGGAGAGAACGAAGGAGCCGAATATGACGGGCTGTTGCTTGTCTGTTGAGCGGGCTGCGAGGGATGGTACGATGCGCTCGTCAATCGATGCGGGAGGCAAGGTGGTGGGGTTATTTCGTTTCTTGCCGAATCTTTGATGGAGCTTTTCTCCTTCGTCCATAAATTTGTGAGACTTTGCGTATCCTGGGCAGTCCGCGCCATATCTTTGGCATTGGGTGCATTCTGGGCGGGCTAAGTCACACTGGTATGATGAGCATGTTGGGAGGATTGCTGACAAGTGGACGGTCATAGTAATGGCGAGCAGATAAGGGCTCAAGACTTACCTTCACTCGTCGCTGGATGCAGGTCTGGCATCCTTTACTCTTGGGGACGCCAACCATCTTCAGGAAAGCCGTTAGGACGTTGTGCTTAACATTCCTAGATGGAAGTTGCTGCACAGCTCAGTAGTACTACCCTCTCAGTTCGTGTCTTAATCTCAGTTTCTTCAGCCGTGACTGAAGATCATCGTGCGAGGAGGGTAGATATCTTCACGTCGCTAATGGCAAGAATGCGACGTAAGAATTCGGAGGTAAGTACCAGGAAAGACAGCTCCTTAACGGCTGAAATAGCCAGCAAATGGCCTTCACAGCACCAAAGATTGGTCCGGAATCGAATCACTCAAATGGGGCTATAGCGATCTAACGGTTGTTTGTCCCGGACAACTCTGGCGGACTGGTTTCTTTGGCCCGTGCAGATGGACGTGGGAACCGAGAAGTTTCCCAAAGCCACGCATATTAATAGAATAACGGGATGAAAATAAGTCAAGAACGCTCTCTGGGCATTGGGTTTGGACCCTGAGAACTGACGACCCGCCGAAGCGAGCCAATGGATACGCCGATAAGTGACGCCAAGCTGCTCCCGAGTTTAAACGGTGGTTCTTGGAGGCGCTTGCTCTGTTGGTGGCTTGGCTTAAAGGACGGGAAGTGCTGTTGGTGGATAAGACATGAAGTCAGTGGGCGTTCATTTCTTGCCATTGGAGACCAACATCATGCAGACTGGTGCCCGTCAGCCTAAGAATGGCCATATGGCGGTGGGTGAGTGGACAAGTGGGAATGTAGGATGGGATGGCAGTCAAATAAGCTTGAGGCGAGGACGCCTCGCCCAAGGTTTTCGCTCGGCCGTGCCCCGAACCAACGCCGTGCCGGGACTGGGTAGAGACGCCTCGTGAGTGGTTGGTTCTGACTACGAATCCTTTACAGAAACGAGGGCATGCAAATATCATGTAAGGTGTGGCATGTTGCTCACGAGGCTGGCTGGCTTGACAAAAAGAAAAGAGAGAAAAAAGGAAAAGGAAATTAAAACATCGGGTTGCCCTATGCGTCTTTCCGTGAGATTGAGAAAGAATGTATAGAGAGAGATAGAGTATATGGGAACGCACTACGGCCAATTATTAACTATTCTCTAGAGAAGTAGCTATAGCTGTGAAAAATATCTACTCGTAGTTAAATCAGGATGTCGACGAACCAACCCTTACAGTCTGGGCCGATGTGGCATACATACTACCATAGGATGTAAGACGAGCGAACGCTTCGATTGATTGACGTGTGTCTAATTCGTTATTAGCCATTAGGAAGTACACCGGAGAATAAAACTGATCATTGCTACCTTCTACGAGAGATCGCCCCTTACGTTCTCGAATGGCAAAAAATTGACAGTCCGGGGCAATTAGCCGAGGGTCTGAAAGGTCCAGTTCAGGACCAAAGACACCATTGGTAGGACCCACCAGCTGCTCGGCATCAGCTGTCAGACCATTCCTCGGGCCACTGTGAATATCGTGATGATCATTGATTTCGTGAAATATCCAACTAGCGTGCCCTATCGATCTATACGAGGCTCTTTAATCGCCGTCGCCTACTATAAACGCGACGCTAACCTCTTTGGGTTGCGCTGCCCGTTTTCTGCCCCAGTCGCTGCACAGCTCAGTACGTACCCAACGGGCCAACTCTCTTCAGCCTTGAAAACTTGCCGGTGAGATGAGGAACGATGATCGGCGCTCATATCTCCCAGCGACCCGCCGGAATGGGGCACCTCAATCCTGTGAGCCCTGCAGACGGTCGAAGCAGCGTTGTGGCCATGAGAGGCCCGTTTGCCGCAGATGTGCGGGGAAGCGCATCGACAGCCAATGCTTCTATCATCCTGCCCCAATGACCAGGCGGACGTCGTCGGAACAGGCCAATCCACCACCTGTCTCCTCTAGTCGATTGACAAGTCAGCCAACATCTAAGTAAGAATGCTATCTATTCGCCCAAGTATCGCTCCATAGCCTAACGACCACAACTCAGTGCTTCGAGTCCCGGCTCATTAGGTGGCGGACGCATCTTTGCGCCCCAGGAGCCTCATTCTGCTCTTCCGGGCTATTTGGGCTCTACAAGCTTCACTGCAGTCCTTACCGAGCATCGAAATGAGATTCCGTTCGACCCCGAGGAGAACCTTGATTCCTGTCCCGTTTTAACGGTGGAGCCCGACCGCGTCCAGTCCGGAGCGGAGGTTCTACTATTCCTCTACAGCTTCAAGAATCGCCAAAAATTATTGGATCGATTTTATTCTCGAACATGGAATGCGATTGCCCCAGAGGCTGTTCTACAGGCCACACTAATGTCGATCGACAGAATCTTTAGCGATTTTGATGGCAATAATTTGATACCCCAATTGCAAAAGCTCGCCACCCAAATATTTCGGAATACTTCACGACCAATGGCTACCCATCAATCCATGACAGTACACGAATACTGTGACTCATTCACTGGGGAAAATCTTCGATGGGAGCCTATCGGCAATCTTTTTTCAATATTTGGCCAGCAATTGGTGATAACCCCAGACAATGACCCTGACTTCTCCCAAGGATCAGACGATCCTCGGGCAAAAGACCGTCTTCTGGAGCAAGTCGTCGTGGCTACCACTATTTGCATCAACTTTTGTGATCAAGCTTCCTCGGCCAATGAAATGTTAGCCTATCTGCAGTTTAACGACGTTATGCTACAAACCCAACAATACGGAGATTCGAGTCTGTCCTTTGATCCCCGATGTCTTGATATTTTGCTATAACTAACATAAAAAATCCAGGCTATCAAGCGTGGCGTCGTCTAGGCGACCTAATAGCCACGGTTTATGCTGCCGGTCTTCATACAGATGGAGAGGACGACAACCGTCCATTTTTCCTGCGCCAGTGGCGAAAGGGGTGTTTAATCAGTGTCTTCTATATGGACAAGATGCAAGCATGCTTTGTTGGTCGACCACCTTTAATGAATTATCGATATTGTACCATGGAACCCCCTCTAGATTTGAGCGACGAGGTTCTCATCGAAGGAGGTGACGCTCTGAACAAAGCAATTTCAGAGCTTGACAGTAATGGATGGAATACCCATGGGGGACGTTACCGCATGACTCCTTCAAGACTACGGTTCAGGATGGCAATTTGCAGAGAGCAAACTCTCGAGCTGGCCCTCGGAACTCACCAACCGCAGGATCTGGTACAGAAAACACAGTAAGTTCATTACCTTGTATTGGACTCGCTTGAATTGATATCTCATGTGACTCAACAGAGAAATAAAAGAGAAGATATGCGCTGTTTGGGAGTCTACTCCAGATCAAATTTGTTATGATCGCCGGAATAACGATGATTTTCATGACGGCTTTCTGACCATCGTCTACATGTACCTCAACTACCTCTATACATGCTTTCTGCTCCAGAGGACCTTGATAAAGCACACGAATACTGGACAGGAGGCACTCTGTGATATTTCCCGCCAAACATTGGCCATTGTCATCAATCTTACCTCAGTCCGCAGCCCTATGGTGGATCTCGACAGACATTACTCTTGGATAGTAAGTTTTTCCTCACTACACGTCATTTTGAACGAGATGTCAGTTCGGTTTTAACAGCCGATTGTTAGGCCCTCACCTATGGTCTCCCCACGGCCAGCGTTCTTCTACTGGAATTATTGCATCAGTCTCACAAGCCTGGCCCGCACAATATCGAGCTTCCTCGATCCGAGCTCATTCGGAACTTAAGTGTCTTTATATCTGTCCTATCTTGGGTATCACGCCCTGGCCATGGGAATTATCATACATGCAAAGAAGCCGAGAAGAAGCTCTCACGCATCCTCGACCAATTGCTCGATCCGCAGCCCGTCCCGGCAGAAACGGTGCACGATGTCACTTCCGGTCTGTCCAGCTTTCTTGACTGGTCAAATTACAACAACTGGGATTTCAGCACGGAGTTGTTTCCAGCGGCAGATGGACTCGCGCCATGAAATATCCAGATGGTCAGTTTGTCGATGAATTATTTACACCATAATTGTACGCGTAATCATCTTCAATCATATAATCATAATAATTGGGGGAATAAAGTTCGCGCCAGGCAAATATGGAAAATAAATGAGGCCGCATCCCATGATTTCGGCCCACCTGCCACCCTTCAGAAGCTAAATACCAACGCCGGGATCATTAGATCGTTCATCATGTCATACCATCCACACATAGTCGTTTCTTGGGGGATTGTCCGCCACAAAATAGGGTCGATGGCATAAAGGACAGTTGTAATGATCGCCCAGGTACCATTTTTCCAAACACTCTCGGTGGAAGACGTGCAGGCACTTCAACTCTCTGATTTCCTCGGAGCGGTCCACCTGTTCCAGACAGACGGCACTGGGGGCCAGCGTTAGCACTACTGCGTGTTCATAAAATTAGAATAAGAAGAAAAATATTCGATCCTACCAAACAAATTGCCCGTCAACGGCCTCGGAAAGCCCCATTTTCCCCTTTGTATTGGTCCACCACTGCTCCAGTGTGCGGGTGGGCGAGACGGCATCCAAATGGCGCAATCTTTCGTCCGGATTCTTCCTCTGGCGCATTAATGACTGGCGATCACGGCGATTGACGACGATGGTGAGACTAGACGCGCTGACATTAATAGGGGGCTCTTGCGACATGATCTGGGGAATCATAATCGGCGAGACAATGGCTCCACAGTGGGGTGACAAAGATCTGAAGATTCCCGCTCGATTTGCCATCGCCTTCCAAAGGACATGTAATACTCACAGCAGACTGAGTACAATAAGCATCACCACACCGAGACCAATCCCCAGCACGATGGCCATATGGCTCGTCTTGAGGCTATGGTCGTCTCCCATCTTTCTTGCCGGGGTGGATATGTCCTGTCGCGCGACAGTCAGTTAGTGAACCATGCCACCCTAGTTGCTTTTCCCACGACGAAAATCCAGCATCCCAACTGAATGCGAAGGGGCAAACGAGACACACCTGAACAAGAAAAGCGAGCACCCCGTGCGGCTCAGGGGATCAGACAAGAAAACTTGGGAAACCCTGCGCAGCCCTCAGATAAAAGAGCTCCTCCTGCCCGCAGGGGAAAGATGATCGACCAAAGCGGGGGCAGAAGATCCACTGAAGCAGCGACTGTGCGATGCGATCATGGCCTTTTGTGAGGGGATCCTAGAGCCAATCGCGGTGTGTGGCGCCCAAAGGGATGGGCGGGCCAAGGTGTGAGCGGCTGGGAATGCTGATCGGCTGAATTGTCCATTTTTTGCGTCTTTCTTCCCTCTTTAAATTTTCCTGTGGAACCACAGCTGGGTCATGTGGAGGGGAGGTTGACAGTTTGATTCATACGAGTAGTCTGTACGACTCCTCGAGGTGTTTCGATTCGAGCCCAGTATACGCAGTATAGGAAGTGTGGATTTCCCATAGAAAGGAAAGGCCCGCAGACTACCCCACCCCCGCTTTCTCCTCTCTCCACTTAACTTTACTTTAATGGATTTACCTTGGTTCAAGTTTAGTTCTATTCAGCTGACAGCTAACAGCTACCAGCTAACTTGTCTAGTGGATCGCCATGTTCTCTACATTCGTCGCCGAGACCCCCTCTTCCTTCTCCGTGTGCACCGCCCCATCGGGCGTTGCCTCTAACATGCGCTGCCCAAACAACAGGTCGATTTCCTCCAACGTCTTTTGCTTGGTTTCTGGGAAGAAGAAATATATCACGGGAAAGGACACACACAGGTCTACGTAAGATCAACTAGGTCAGCTTTGGGAAACAACTTTCGGGGCACCGAATCGACAACTCACTCCACGCCACAAAAATAAAATAAAATTTCCACTGGATCTTGCCCAAAGCGATGGGCGACACTTGATTCCAGAGTGTGCTGACTGCCCAGTTTCCGAAGGCGACAGCAAATGCATTACCCTTTCCACGGATTTGCATAGGCATGACCTCGGCCATATAGACCCTGTTCAATGATCAGTCTTTCAGTTACACATGAAGATGCATCGAGGGTTCCGAAACTTACCAGCTACAAGGCCCAAAGGACATTGAAAATATTACCGATACGGCAAACAAGAAGAAAACACCGCCGATGCTGTACCCAATGCGTTGACCATCTGCATTTTGAGAGTTGAGCGCCGCCTCGCAGATCAGCGCGAGAGAGATAGCCACGCTGCCGAAAAGCATCGGTCGCCGGCGACCAACTCGATCGAGAAGAAATACCACGAATACGAGGTTGGCAATTGGGCCCACGCAGTTGTATAAGCCTGCCACCAGCGTGTTCCGATTCCCGGTGAAGCCCAGAGCTCTGTACATGATTGTTTGATAGTACCCGATCACATTGATTCCTGTCATTTGGGTAAATATCTGGACTGCGAGACCATGTCTCAGAAAAATTGTCAGTTAACCCCAATGTTCACGGTTGATATGGGGCATTGTGGGACAATGAAGGGGCTGCACATACAGCATGCGAGTACGCCATTGCGGAACCGTAAACAAGGCGCTCCACCCATGCACTGCAATACTCTTCTCGGCCTCGATGGTGCGACGAATTTCACTAAATTCGGCCTCGATCCAATCTTCATTTGTCCCATCGAAGTGTAATTTTCGGAGCACGCGCATGCCCTCGTCATAACGCTCTTTCTCGATGAGATATCGTGGCGACTCGGGAAGGAATATCATACCGATGACCAAAACAAGAGCTGGTACGACCTGAAAGGCGAGAGGAAACCTCCATTGGAACTGGCTGGTTGCGGGGGCATGCAGGGACCCGTACCCAATCCACCTATGGTTCACACCGAATTAGTGACTGTTGTCAATCATTTTAAATGCCGGGTAGCGACCGGGAATGCATACGTGCTAACGATAAATCCAATCCCAATCATTTGTTGTGCTAGTCCAACTATCATACCTCGAGATTTTGGATGCGCAAGCTCGGCTTGATAGACTGGTACGGACATGGACATGAGCCCGACGGCCCACCCGGCCAGGATTCGGCCGACCAGGATCATTGAGAGGTTCTGTGCAGCTGCCTGCAGGATCGCACCAACGAGGCAAATGCAGGCTCCCATCTGGATGGTAATTTTGCGGCCAAAGCGGTCCATGGTGAGGCCGCCCTGCAAGGACCCGATGACAGCTGTTGAGGACGGTCAGCGAATACTACTTCTCCTCTTAGAGTGCTTGTCTTCTGTGTCAATTCCCTACCTCCACCTGAGAAAGTACTATTGATTGCTCCGATAATCGCAGATGTCTGCGTGGTCTGGAAGTACGCCAGGAAATTCGGCGACTCGATCACATCTGTCATGACCCCACTGTCATAGCCGAACAGGAACGAGCCGGTGGCAGCTAGGCAGGCCACGAAGATAGTAAAAGGTCGACCCATGGTGGGTTAAGGGATAAATATCGTATACCCACAATAGTATTATGTGGTTCATCACCTTAGAAGAGGGGCAAAGCGTCGTTAAACTCAACCCAGACGGGCTCTACATGGTATATAGAATGGTGACCTCGTCCTGTAGGCCCCCTTTTATTGTGCGAGGTGCATTGAGTCCCAAAAAGCGGGGCAACGGGCGCAAGTCTCTGAATAATGACAGGGGGTGGAAAAAGAAGCGAGGGGAAAATCCGGGGGTGACAGTGGCGTGGTGTCTTTCCAAGCTTCGATTTATCTCCACGAGCCGAGTGTCCAGCCTATCACGGCCCGCTGTAGCCCGATGGGTTCCCCGGTGTGCCGACGGCATCCCCCGCATTCGTTTGCCCGTGTCTAGAATAGAGTGCTGCTCGCTTAGGGGCCCGACAGAACCTGCTCTCCAGTCTCTTTTTGTGCCGTCATTTCCCGGAAGATTTATTTCGACATCCTGTGGCTTGAAATACAGAGACGCCAATCAGCAGATAATTGTAGGCAAGAGAACCTATAATACTGCTTTGATATTATAAAGTTCATAGGGTTGAAGATAAAAATAAAAGTATATCTACAGGTCCTTGGCCACCTCAGGAGCGTGCTCACCTGCGACCTTTCGCGGAGATGGACTGCGCTGGTGAATCCCTCCTCGGTTACGGACATGGCTGTCAAAAGACCCGGCGCGGCCTCTATCCAGCTCGTCCACGCGGGCTATGATGCTCTTCATCTTCTTGGCGGCATCCTCCTTGTCGGAGATCATCTGCTCATCCATGCGATCCATCCTCTCCGTCAACTTAAACAGCTTGCTGTTGGCCATTCCGCGCCCCAAAACACCGAGCTCTATGTCCGTGAAGCCCTTGGCTTCTTTCTTGGCCTTTTAGCCTCTTCCCATTTCTTCATCCAGGTCCAGGGGTTTACGGCCCTTGTGGCCCAAAGTCCGGGCGAGGACTTGAAGGCCCAGACGACGAAAACTACGGCCCCTGGGGCAAGGAGTTTCAGGCCCTGCACCCACTGCAGGATCTTGTTGGATATGTCGAGCTGGTTCAAGAGCTTTTTGAGCTCGGTCGACTCCTTATCGTCTGATTGCTCTATTACTATATCGTCAGCGCCTATTTAATCACTATGGTATCTCTATCCACTGGTGAATAAATATTTACAGGCTGCTTCAAGCTCCACCTCATCGAGTCTACATCAGACAAGAATCATCGATGCAGATGATACAAAATGTAATATCTATCCATCTAGCTCAAGATTTACCAGGGATAATCTACAGATTGGGGATGACTACTGACTGATTTCGGTATAGAAGGAGAGGGCAAAGGCGAGAAGTTCCTCGGGGGTCTGCGAGTAGCGACCATCGGGCCCAAGAGGGGGGAGAGGAACAGCGCCTGCCTCAAAGATAAAGAGCTAAAGTTGCAGAGCGATCATTAGCAAACGTTCAATTTCTTGCAATCATTGTGAAAGCGAATTGCTTTCAGAGCCACATATGTACGCGGTGTTTTGACTCTTTTCGTAGTTGAGGACTCTAACTTGACAGAATAATCGCATCATTATTCGCCGGGCCTAGGATTGCAGCCATGCGAGCATCTCTGCGTACGAGCTCCGATGTTATTCTGGCGATTCTGAACACCTCAATGCACCCGGAACATTGTTACCGAGCCCAGACATGGAGTGTAGCTTGAGAGCGTGCGGTCCCGAAGGAAGGCATTGTAGCTCCGGCGAATATGACAGATGCGCGTCAGGGATCTCTTTTTCGTGGTACATGAAAGTCCGAAATGATGAAATGAATTCGCAATGGCTTTCCCAAGGCAGAGGAGCTTAGAGAAGCATTCGGTCTGCATAGCGGAATAGATCTTGTCCGAAGCGGCGTTGGAAAATGCAATATTCCAAAATTCGTCTCGCCCTCTTTGCAGGGGAATTTGCAAGCGTGAAAAACGCGTAACGAAAGCAATTGGCCTCTAGGTCGGTGTCGAATTGAGTCTCCTCACCGCGTACATGTGTGTCTGTTTAGAAATTAGGTGCAATTGACTTACGAGGAGGAAGAAAACGAGCGGGAGAACAACTTTAACTTTGGCCATCTTGGCCAATCTCCCTCAGATTAGATGAGTGTCAATTGATTGGATTGTAAGCGATCAGATAGAATTGCAGCAATTGGTCGACTATCATCAAATGAGAGAATCGATGATTCTAACCGCCCTCACGTCGTCCTACAGTCACGGGATCCAAGGCCCGTTTGGTCTATCGTGGTCGCTCCTTCCCTACGTGCCCTATATCCGGTGCCTTCCCAATCGGGGATACCCAAAAAGGTCATTGTGATTGGTAATCAACCTACTAGTATGCTGCCCTAGGTCAGATCAATCCAGCTTGTGCTAATTCACACTGAATTGTGTGGAGTTTTGCTGAATAGTATACTCTTGAAAAGTACCCAGCCATAGTAGAGGCTATCCGCACTATATAGGAAGTAACGTATAGCATGCCTGAACTTATAGCACCTAGGCACACAAGCTTGCTAATAAATGATGAGGAAAGTTGCAATGCTAGATTATACTACGTACCGTTGATGGAAGACTTAGCTAAGGCTATCGAAGAACTACTACATATGCCTTTGAGTAGCGAAGTGGACTGACTAATCTATATCTGAGGTCTCCGCGACCAACAACGCTACCAAAAGGTACCTAAAGAATGGACTGATATCCATAATATGCTATCTAGGTATATGTTTCTTTAAAGTGCTTTATCTTGATGACTAGAAAGGCGTGGGGTTTTGGGGGAATCGGTGTATTGGTGAAGCTATGGAAGGCTCGAGCTCTTACATGTATGGTGAAGCCTGACTAAGTAGTGATGTCTCAGGCCTCTAGGGCTCTTTAACATGTCTCCAAATTTTATCAAACTGCTACATTCCAGAACTATGCTATATAATCGAAGCTAGATATAAAGATTCTGAAGAGTTGGATACTGCTGTTCTGATCTGTGGTTCCTTCCCGCTCTCGAACCTACTAGTCTTCTAAGGGAGATCATCGTATAGTTTTAACAGCCCGCACCAACGTCAATATTACGCATACCTTTCCATTCTGTACCTATTTGGCGTCGGGGGTTTCGAATACGTCTTTGGAGTGTCCTCTTATGAAAATAATTACCTCGCTTTTGACAAGATGCCTGCAACACTCCTCCTCACCCCTCCAGAGCTGAATTCCTGCTATTCTCCATGCCTCGACCAACTCTATTCTATATCTACTTTTAAGATAATGGATCTACGCGAGACGTGGATTGAATCCCCTAGTGGACTTTTTCGCCCAATGGGCTCTAGCACCACTGGTGAATTCCTTCGTCGGTTCCGCTTTGAAGTTGAGGGATATCCGTGCGAATGTCCTTCTAAACTAATCAGCGACTTTCTGCTTGCCGAATATCAATTTAGAGTTATCATTCAACTCAAAGATAGTAATAAAGGAGACTGCGATAATAAAGGAATACGTGATGGAATTTATACCGAATACATTCGGTGTGAGAGAAACCAATATTTTAAAGATTACGCTCTACCTGCTGCAACACTGGATAAGATGCGTAAATTTGTATTAAAGGATTCTGGATGGTATCTCCGAAATACCCTTACTGATCAATGTTGTCTAAATGGTGGTTGTTGTGGCCAGAATTGTGGCTGTTGTGAAAAGCGCACAGGTCATTTACCCAGAAGAGATATAAGTGGACACTGTACATGGGCCTGTCGTTGCTGCATAGAGAGAAAAGGACTCAGTTTTAAAAATTACGATGGCGATAGCTTTGAGCAGCAGTACAAGGCTGAACTTGAGAGCGATAATCCAGTCCTTCTGCTTCGAATGGCAGATGGCTATTTCTCCGAGCCTAAATCACGACCACGTTTGAATCCAGAATCCAATAGTGATTCTGCGGATAAAGCGCTATCTACTACCCACGACGCAGGTGCAAATGATGGTGCGAAGGCCATGGCTAAGGAAGAAATCCAAGACAGTGCTACGAATATAATTTCCGATCCCTGTCCACCGCCATACAAGGAGATTGCGAAGGATGATGGGGAGAGGAAACAAAGGCGAACCTGGCTCTGGAAGAAATTTTGACAAATATTTTTGTTATTGTGAATTGCGACTACTGGACCGGTTACCAATATAGAGTTCCGTCACGGCGATCCCCATTTTTGCTTCTCAGGCCAAGTATCTCAGGTCAAATCGGGGGTTTTCGGTCCACACTGCTATATCTAGCTTTTTGATAGCCTTTTCTTAATGTATGAAGCAGATAGAGCGAGACAATTCTACGGGCTCGCAGATTCTTAGGTCACTTACCGGTTTCCCGTCAAAATAATCCCCCTTGCATTGCCTAGTGGTAAATTCACAATTTCTTCCCTAAACATCTTCCAAAATGAGTGCTTTGTTCAATATCACTGAGCATGTTATCGATGGACAACACATTCGAGAGTATCCTCGAGCTACGGCTACCCCCGATGCACCTTTAAAGCTTTGCATCAAGCAATATATGCCGCTGGACAATCCGAACCCCAAGCCAGGGGATGTCACAATCATAGCTACTCATAGATATGGATTTCACAAGGTAATTTCTAGTTCTTTCAGTACGGAAAACAGACTTGAAGGATAGGGTAAATTGACTAATTTACTGGTTTAGGAGCTGTATGAGCCCCTCTGGGAGGATTTATTAACTAGCTCCAACAAACATGGGGCTCGGATCCGTTCAATCTGGATAGCAGGTGCTGCCAATCAGGGTGCCAGTGGTATTCTCAATGAGCAAGATCTAGGAAATGATCGTAAGTAGGAGATGACTTGATCTGTAATTTTCGGCCTCGCTGATATATCAAAGCATCCTGGTATGACAATAGCCGCGATGTGATTCACATGGTCAAGCACTTTCGCGACCAGATGCCACGGCCTATTGTGGGTGTAGGTCATAGTCTAGGGGCCACACAGCTGTAAGTGTCTTCTATATCGTTGATCGTATCTATCAAGACTGACACCCATTTCCATAGACTATTTGCGTCGCTTTTCGTCCACGATTTTTCACACCCCTAGCACTGATCGAGCCACATATGACTGACGAACCCCCAGCTGGGGGCGGTCCAATGCTTGTGTATATGTCGAATAAGAAACGCGACGCATGGTCATCTCGAGAGGCTGCTATCGAAAAAGCTGGAAAGGCTTTCAAGACATGGGATCCTCGCGTATTCGAGCTGTGGAAGAAATTTGGATATTGAGACTTACCCACGTGCATATATCCCGAAAAACCAGCCAACGGCACACGTCCAGTAACATTGAAATTACTCAAACCTCGACTCTAGCGAAATCGGGCCCCCGCACGACCCCCTCCTGTTTCCCGACGTTTTGGGCGCGTTATCGCCAACTCAAATATCATACCGACCAGAGTCGATCCTGGCATTCAAGTTGATCCCACATATCAGACCTTCCGTGATCTATGTCAGTGCCTCAGATAGTGCACTTGGCAGCCGCAAAACTCACAGGAACTGGGTTTGGCGGCAGTGGCGAATTGAAATCTGGACGTGTGCAGTATTCGGTAATCCAGAAAGCAGGTCACTTTCTACCACAAGAAAAGGCGATAGATACGGCGCATATACTGGGGTCTTGGCTTAGTCAAGAGCTCCAACGTTGGCAAGAGGATGAGACTCGAGTTGCTGATGGCTGGAAGGGGTTGTCTGGGAAAGAGAAATCTAGCTTCCAGCCGGAATGGAAAGAGGTAGTCGAAAGCATCGCTGTTCTGAACAGGCAGTCGAAGATATAGGTAGCTACCTCGGCAGTGGTTTTATTTACAAGATTATGTTTTTCAAGTTCCTTTTCGATATAGATTCATCTGAACGGACCCACATGAGCACTGGCAGGATATATCAAGTGCAACATGGAATATAAACGAAATTTGGGGTCTGAGAATTCTGACTAGACCAAAAATAATTCATCTCAACGCGTCTCTACATATCTACACGCGGCCTGATCATGTAAATTCCGCGTTGGCCTTGCTGTAACTCTGCCACAGGCCTGCATCACGTGGATTTTGATGATCACGTGAGTTCGTGTCACACCGCGTTTGGAGCTCTTCAGACCAATGGAAAATGGGTGTCAATGATGACATGCAAAATGCTGGATACCAAAGGCAGGCGTAAAAACCCCCGACGAGGGACTTGGGGACTCCTAGAATCGCGCGCATTCCAGCAGGGTGACGTGGGACACGCGAGGGTCCAGGTTGTAGTGGGGACCTCTCCCGAATTACCTCCGACTCCACGGCGCGTCCATATTGTCCGAGAGGGATTTGAGCTGGTCGAGAACACGACTTGGGCAAATAGTGTATATTTAGCAGTCACTTGGGGAGCAAGGGTGGTTAGTTGAGAACAGAATCCTCGACTAAATTCGCCAGAAGAGCATAGGACTATGTTGTAAGTACATGTAAGTAGAAGGTACCTCGGGGACGGGCTCGCTAGCGCCGGCCACGTTCCTGCTACCCTCCGCGTCCGCATCGCGACGCGCATTCGCATTTGCATTTGCATTTGCATACTCTACTCTGCACCAGCCCCGTCTTCTTGACGATTTCACTTTTCCTTTTTTTTTTCTCTGGTCCGGTTGCGTGTGTTTTTTGTTGGATTCTCCCCTTTCCCTCTCTTTTCCCTTCTACCACCCATGCTCTTCTAGTCAAGAGTTTATTATGTCCGACTTGGAGTGCTCGGCCGTCGCCGCCTCCTCCTCACCGTCTCTGCCGGCCGTCGACTCCAATCCCCTCAACTATGCATTCCTGGTGCACTCACAGAAAACCTTGACTCAGAATCTGCCACCTCGCGTCGATAACAAGCTCCTGGCTCGTCAAAAACGGCGTCGAACGAGGTATGTTGGCTCCGTGAGCTCTAGTAGCTCGGATAGCTCCGATACGCGTCGTTATTAACCAATATTGGCACATCGGTACAGCCCTGAGGACCATGCAATTCTGGAGGCAGAATATCAAAGGAATCCCAAGCCGGACAAGTTGGCCCGAACTGAGATCGTGAATCGCGTCTCGCTCGGCGAGAAAGAGGTCCAGGTACGTGATGCCAAGACCTCACGGTCTAAAATTCTCTCTTTAACCGTGTGACCCGCATGACTGATTCTTGCAGATCTGGTTCCAGAACCGCCGCCAGAACGACCGTCGGAAATCGAAGCCCCTACAACCACACGAGCTGCTTGCGCCGCGATCAAGCATGTCCGATTCGTCTGGACTTTTACCTAGCGATGATAACGCGTCCGGGGAGCTGGGGTTCTCGAGTGGGGCGGAACAAACAGAGGGTCAGGACCGACCCGAGGAAACGCGACCGAAATCGTGGGGTGGCGATTTGTTGCAGTTGTCCGATACACCAGAGCCGGTGACTGGTGACAAGGAAGAGCCTGAACTGCCGCCGCAAAGCACACAGACGAGTGTGGCGACAGAAGCGACGGAGGATACCCCGCCAACCACACAAGAGGAATTTCACTGGCCGGATTCCGGAGAAAGCATGAGTGAGCAAAACAACCAAGAGGAGTCCTTGTTGCAGGCGCCAAAACGGAAACGGCCGACGGAAGATATTCGAGGGGAAAAGAATTCCAACCAGCCAGTGACGGAGGTGAACACGACGCCAGTCAAACCACCCCCTTCACTGCGGCTGTCGATGTCGTTTGATGGGGAGGCTATGGTCCGGAAAGAGGATGAGATGACACCGTCTCCGCCAAAGGGTCGGAACGCGTTGCGTATCGCTATGTCGTCAGATGGAAAGGCCGTCATCCGTGGAGAGAATGAGCCATCACCGTCCAAGAACCGGGCAGCGATGTTCTCTGTCCGCCGCACAAAACTCTCTGGCCTTCGCCGCAGCAGCAGTGCAATCTTCCCGGCCACCCCGCGGGCGGGTACGACCGAGAAGGATCGAAACTTTGGCCGATCTCGAGATCCTCGTAACTGGGAATCATTTTTCGATACAGATGCACGAAGTGCATTGTCCACACCTGCCAGCTCTCAAACCGCCCCAAATGCCCACGCCTCTCCCGGTCTCTTCCAATCCCGTTCCAACCGCACACTACCCCGAACTGTATCAGGCAGACAAAGTTTTGTCTCAGTCCATGCAGATGCAAGCCGCACACCTATCTCACAAGCAATGGGGGAGAAGAGGCGAAAGCTTTCACGCACTGTCTCCTCTATGGGCAGACTTGAGACCGAAAGGAACCGGTCCTTAAACCAAGCTTCCAAACTTTCTAAGTCGCTTTCGTCCAAACATGACTTGGAACTAGATGCCGGCGACTCTGATAAAGAAAACTGGGTCCCGGGTACACGAGCAACACCAGTTCGTCGCCGCACAACTTCTCATGCACCACGACCTGCCTTGCGGGAAGCCAACCGCAATCGGGGACTCGGGATATCATCCAACGGCAAACGCAACAGGCCATTCGCGTCAGGGACCCAAGACAAAGCTCCAGGGGAATTGAGTGCAGATGTTTCGGCCTTTATGACAGGTGGCTCTGGAGCCAGCCAAGAGGACGACCTGGACTGCGTTCAGGGTCTCCTCTCCCTCAGCCAAGGGGCATGGAGGTAACCCTTGAGAGAGGGGGAACAAGGCACCAGTACAGAAAAGTGTCTTTGGCCGTTGTCATTCATACACACCTTTTTGTTCTCTTTTGTTCTCTTTTGTTCAGCCTTTCTGTATTTGGTCCTCTTCCATTTTTCTTGTCTGTCATGATTTGTGATGTGAGCCTGGAAGCGGTTCCTCGCCACATCTGTCTGTCACGTGAACTACATGATCCCTTGTTTTGAAGTGCCGCCGGCCCTCGCAGATCTCTGGTCCCCTTTGTATCCTGGCCTGATATTTGGACTTTTTTTTTGGCTCCTGTCAATTGTTTCCTTTTAAGAGGTCCACTGGACCGATGAAGGGCAGAATGCTGCCAAGGACTTGACAACGGGAATGCCTCCCGGTATAGATCAACTAATCCTGGAATGAAACCCTAACGATCATTTGAACTTCGAGCAATAAAAGAACTTAAGAGTAATCAAGTAAAGAAGGCTCATTTGGCAGAAAGAATAGTTCATCGGCTGCAAGTGGACTGGATACCACTTCGACTAAATCAACCTTCAATGCCAGTCATAACACTTAACAAACCCAAATCCACTGCCCCATTTACACTCAAGTGTCGCCTGAAGTCCAAGTAGCGCACTCACTTCTCACTACCTGAAGGCAAAGAATCATTCCTCATACTCTCAACTCCAACGCTCCCCAACCCAAGCCTTTCGCAAACCTGAGCAGCAGCTCGTTCCCCACTCCAATAAGCACCAGTTGTCGTACCCAACGCCACAAACGGTGCAGTATGCTCCCCGGCAAACCAAATACCACGCTCAGCACCAAGCCCATCACCCGAGCGCAAAACCTCGATATCTTCGTCACCGGCTGTCAGTCCAATCTGGAAATTACAATAGGAGCCATTTCCCGCGTAAGGATCCAATTGCCAGCGTGTAGCGAGGATGGAGCTTGGCTTGCAGGATGGAGACGATGGGTCATAGCCTGGAAGCTTTGAATAGAAGGGTTCCAGTATGTTTGTGAGGATCTGTTTGTATTCTATTGATGTTTCGTCAAGGTCGGCTATTTGGTTGACTATGTTTGTGCCGCAAGGTCCGTAGGTGTAGAATAGGAGGGTTGGCTGGGCGCAAGGACTTGGGAGATTCGATAAGGAGAGACATTCTTGATTCCATTGGATATCTTTCGGATGGGATGTATACGTTGGTTCAAGAAATTGAGCGAAGACTGGGCTGGTGGGTTGGGCCTTACTCGCCTGCGTGGTCTTCGTTGACTCGCTGTGCCAGAAAGCTTCGGGGAATTTGACGAAAACTTTCTCCAACCGGCCGTAGGAGATGTTGTTAACCGCCTGGAGGAAACGGCGTGGGAGCTGTGGTTCGAAAGCTTCCGTATTGCGTTTCAGCCAGCCGAGGGGACAAGTGATGACCAATTGATCAAATTTGTAAATTTCCCCTGAAGCTGTGGTTACAGTGACCTGATTCTGATTCGGTTCCTGCTCGTTTTTGGGCGGTGTTTCGACTTTCATGACAGGTTGCTTGAAGCGAATATTGGCTTGGGCTAGTGCTGTCTTGGCAACATGTTGCAAAATGCGCTGGTAGGTCGATGCTACAAAGTAGTTGTCTGGGGAGGGAATGTCAGCGTGGAAAATCCTCGAGGGCCATGATCATGGGAACACATGACTGTGTGACCAAAAGTGCTAGGAGCAACATACTCCCATCGATGCATTCTTCCAATCGGAAAAACCTGAGACTCTGTCTTTCGATCGGATCCCCAACATAAGCACCCCAGAGCTTGCAGGAATCCAAACAAAGTATTTTATCTTCATCAGAAAAATCAGTTTTCTCCAATTTCTCCTGGATGAAGTCGAAGAGGCTTTGCTCCGAGGGGATACTATCTCCATGCTGATTGCTATACTCGAAGGCCTGCTCGATAGTTGTCCAGACAAACTCTGCCGACTTGGTAGCCCTTTCTTCATTGACTAGCTGACCATCACAGGATATTGAGATATTTCTCCCTTCTGGATCATGGGCCACAGTCTGAGTTGCCTCAGCGATGGACATGATTGGATTTTCTCCCTTGCCATGGATCCAATTAGGCCCCCTGTTTCTTGTTAGCCGCGGATCTTACGATGCATGGGCCTGGAATCTAGGAAGACCGAGACAGGTGGCGTAGTATACATACAGATCTACCAAATGACCGGCAAGATCGTTTTGATGTACCTAAAAAGGAAATTTGCTTAGCCTGTATCCATAAGAGAACAAATCATCAAGAGTTACTCGAGCATGCCAGGTATCATGTACAACAAAGGCAAGCACCAGGGGAATACAAACATACCCTTCCACCAATACGATCTCTCGCTTCTAAAATAGTCACCCGGGCACCATTCTGAACGAGAATGTCGGCACAGCGCAAGCCCGAAATTCCCGAGCCCACAACACCGATGTGAGGTTTCGGTCCCATAGTATGGGGAGAGCGGCAGATGGAGCCGATATTCTGGCTTGAAAATCCTCGAATATATTTACCAATGATAGCTCGAATCATCGATTTTCTTCCCGCGGAAGCGATTCAAGCGAATGGGATCAAGCGAAGTGGTTGATGTCGTTGATTCAAGGCGGGGGATCCTTGTGGGCGGCTGATTGGCTGTCGGTGGATCTACGTCCACAGAGTGAGGTCGAGCTGGGCTTCCAGTCTGACAACTGGCGTCCATGGAAAAAAACGTTCATCATCGGTGAATGGAATTAAATGGCATTACTACTTTTGTTCCGCCTCTTATAACAATGAGGTACGGACCCATGTTGATGGATTTTGAAATGTGTCGTCAACACTTTTATGTGGTATCTCTGCGAGTGCTGAAACCGTCCCAACAGTGAGGAAAAATCCTTCATATTGCTGCAGTTAGTCTTTTATATCTTCACCTTCACCGCTAGAGCCGCCGTGTACTCTGGAGGTCTATCCCCTTCCCCATTCTCTCTTCGTGTCTTCCAACCCCTTCTTCCTTCCAACCTTCTATATTCTGCACTGCTCCAAATCGTGCCATTGGCGTAGGGGCAGTACAGCACTTGGCAGAGGGTCAAACCGTTATCTCAGGCCCACAGCGATCGTGATATCACTTCTTGGGTGCAGATCCTTTGTTCTGCCGCTGTGAACACTCGAGGAAATGTCGGATTACAGCGAAGTGGATCGTAGGGACCGAAAGCCGCCCCTGAACCCGGTCAATTCTTATTATTCACAAGGTCCCATGAGTCCTTCCCTATCTTGTAGTTTTTTATCCTCCTCGTCCTCCACTCGCTCTAGACCCAAAATCGACGGGACAGGATGGTTAATTCTTGATTAGGAACACGCCTTCGGTCAGATCATCTTGATCACTTCATTCTCAACGAGCGGGGTTTTTTTTTGGATGATACAGAGGAAAAAACATTGAAGAATACTTTTGTCCCTAACCACCATGGCTGATCCGGAGTCAACTCCCCCATCTCCCAGCCAGTTGATGGAAATGGAAGAGCAACATATCGAGGCACTCAACATGTGCTCTAAAGGCCCTGAACGAGAGCATCCAGACACCCTAACCGTGATGGCTAGCCTGGCATGCATATATGTGGAACAGGGCCGATTCGATGAAGCTGCGAAACTGCAAATGGAAGTCATGAATGCTCGCCAACGGGTGTTAGGACAGGAACATCCAGACACCCTGACGGTCATTTCTCAGTTAGCAGCGACGCACTCGACTCAAGGGCTCTGGAAAGAAGCAGAAGCACTCGAAGTGCAGGTAGTTGAGACAAGCAAGCGCGTGCTCGGCGAAGATCATCCCAACTCCTTTACGGCCATGTCGAACCTGGCGTCTACCTACTTGAATCAGGATCGGTTGGAGGAGGCGGAGAAGCTGCAAATACAAGTTATGGAGATATGCGAGCGTTCGCTTGGTCCAGACGATCCGAACATGCTCACCATCATGGGTAATTTGGCATCGACCTACCGTGAACAGGGACGATTGCCAGAAGTGGAAAAGATAGATCGGAAAGTGGTGGACACTTCAAAGCAGGTGTTAGGTCTGGAGCATTCCCAACTTTGGCCAGTATGTCAAACCTAGCGACGACCTATTTCAATCTAGGACGACACAAGGAGCCCTAAGAGCTTTTGATGCAGGTCTTGGAAATTCGGAAAGAGGGACTGGGCCCACAACACCCACAACACCCTGCAACGCTCAATACTATGGCGAATCTGGCATCCGTATATTCCTCTCAGGAGCGATGGAAAGAGGCCGGAGACCTGGAGGAGGAGGTTCTGGAGATCCGAAAACAAACGTTAGGGCCCAAACATCCATCCACTCTGATCAGCATGAATAACCTTGCACATACCTGGAATGCGTTAGGCAAGAGCAAAGAAGCCTTGCGGTTGATGTCCAAGACTGTGAAGCTCTGCAATAAGCAATTAGGCCCGGATCACCCAGATACCGTGGCCTCGACTACCGCGCTCAATAAGTGAAGTGAACATTTATCCTGGTCCCAGCAACTGCGACTCCAGGTCAGCCGATAAACTGCTATGCCGTGCCATTACTCGGTGGAAGGTATATCATGTTATGTGGTATATAGTGATTTTGCTGGTGTTCAGGGTTTGTGTGTTCTCCCTAAAATGGCCTTTCAAGGAGCCAAAAAACCAATATACTATCTGTTTGACCAGAATAAATCAATTTACCCAGCAGTGCAATGGTGTCGCTGCCCTCAACTTTGAAGCTGCTATCTTTTAGTCTAAAGCTTTATCTTCAAAGTACTAATAAAACATTCTAATCACAATAAATAAAGTTCTTGAACAAAATTCCGACACTCTCTTAGCTATCACCACAGAGGTAGAGATAATAGTATCAAGGAACAAATAATTCAGAGTTAGATAAATTAAATTCTGAACCTTGGAAGGGTATACAGATAATCTATAGGTTATTAAGAGAGACATTTTGTTCATCAAAATTATGTTCAAAACTTGAAAGAAACGTTAGACCAACTTACTATATACTGAGCCAGAACTTACTTTGATTAGGGGATTCCTAGATAGATACCTAGGTATCCCAAAACTATCGTTGTATAATTAGAAGAAAGAAATTAAGCACTTAGACGCGGCTAATTCGCTCTGGTGATCGCAGGCCATTCCAAGGTTATCCGACGATCATAGGCAGTGAACAATGGATATCGTGGGCTAGGTATATCCAATAGTGGATTGCATGATGACAGAAGGTGCAGTAGTACATCCATGGAAGATTCTGATCCGTGTGACAGTCTACAGCCTATAGTATGGGATACTAATCTTTTCTAGAAAAGAAATTGCACGGTGGCCTATGTTGAGTTGCCTAAAATTGGCACACTCATTTCGATTCAAGCATAAACTCGGGATGTCCCTGGTGATAGAAAAGGAAAGACCAGTGAGTGGAATACACTGGATGGTATCAAGCAAAATAAAGAGGCAGAGAAAGCATGGATGGAGAAAGCAGCAGGACCTCCAGAAACGCAAGGATTATGACCAGCATAATAATATGGAAAACACCGAGCCATTTGCCCCGTTATTCTTCCCATGTACTACCTGGTAAAACGAGAAAAAAAGAATAATGCGCCACCGGAAGTAAACTCCTGGGTGTGATGAAGATGATGAAGATGATGAAGATGACGATGATGAAGATGACGATGATGAAGATGACGATGATGATGATGCTAGTGGGTATGTACTGGTCAGATACTCGGTGTATCTGATGGGGGGTTGGGTCGATATTGCAGACTGTGGCATAAGAGCCAATTCGTGATGTGAAAAAAGCCCAGAATCAAACTCAATAGGAGGTCAACTCCGCGGGAAAAGACGAAAACTCCTGAGACGAGGAGCCTGGAATTTCGAATGGTGACATATGACGGAAGCATTATGTCGGTGCAGGATAGGATGAAGAAAGGCATCAATAAGCTGATGCAGCTGACGTTGTCCGACTTCAGTCTTCCCAGATGGTCTCTAAATCAAGATCCTGGCGACGCTCAGCCCCACAGACACTCCATCGCTTCCGCTTATCACTGCGTGGGGCATATGCGCTGGAACCACCCCGGACCATGCCAAAAGAACTGGATGGACTTGAGGTATCGGATGTACCGCGCCGGCGGTTGGCGTTGCTTGCCGCATCGGCCGCGTCAGCGGCGGCCTTGAGCTCTGCAATGCGATCCTCATCCTCGAGAGCCTCTGCTTCTGCATCAGGGATATCGGGAATTGTTTCCAGTGACGAGATACTGGGACTCCGGGAGCGGAGACTGGTGGGAGTCGAGGGCACGGAGGAGGTGGACGAGGAAGAGTGGATGGGGTAGGACTCGTTGTATTTGCCGCCAAGGAGAGGTGAGGTATGAATCGGTGGCGGACTGCTCACGGAATTTTGGAAATGGAGGGGCGATGTTGAGCGCATACGGCCGATGCGGGGGAATGTCTGCGGCATCAAGACGGGGGAGCCGTTGGTATGGGAGGATGGCGATCTTGGGGTAGTGTGGAGTTCTGCATTCTCCGAAATAGTCTCGGAGATGTTGAGCGAGCCCAGACGGGTCTCGATATGATCGTCCGCGCGCATCTGCAAGGGCATGGGTCGTTTGACGCCGTCGGCGGGAGGATGCGTGGGCAAACCGCGGCCGTTGACGAAGATATATCGGCCTCGGGAGTCCAGTCCTGGGGACGAGTAGGCGCGCGTCATCGATGGCATGCCGGGGATGCCCACCAGTGACCGGGAGCGTGAATGTGATCGGGTCAAAGGAGATCGGGCCCGAGGGGGTGCCGGTGGTTCGGGAGAGAGCGACAAAGTGATCATGACGTCCTCCTTTCCCACCCGTTCCGGAACAGCTCCGGAGTTGGACGCGGCCGCGGAGGAGGCTTCAGTGGAGTGTGAGAGCGAGGTCGAGGAGCGCCTGTTCTCAGGTCGCTGCGGCAGTGACTGCGACTGCGACTCTCCCATGGCTGTGAATCTAGATGATCGGCGAGGAAAGGGGGAGGGGGTTGTGGCTCGAGACGGAGGGAGGAAGGAGAGGCGATAGCAAAAGGTTACGCCTACGTCGGGCGCATTATGATCAAGGGGAGGTGAAAAATCGAAAATCGAAATCGAAAACCGTGGGCCTGCCAGGCTTCGACAGAGGTGAACAAAGTTTTGGTTGTTGGAGAAAGAAGAAGAAGTGAGGGCGGAAGAAAAAGATGCGGCGAAAATAAGACGCGGCCCAGGCCCGTGGACCCTGCCAGGGCTGTGCTATACTCCTTTTTCATTTCTGCCCGTTTCGCTTTGCTTTGCTTTTGCTTTTGCTTTTGCTTTTGTTTTTGCCTACATTCTTTCAATCTATTGTGCTCACCTCTTGTGATAATGAGATTGAAGATGAAATTACCCTTTGAACCGGGCCTCACTCTCCATGGGTCCCATATTGCGAACCTCTGCATCCATGGATCGGCTCCCGACCTGGCGGAGATAGTAGTCTCTCATCCAATGAAAGGTACGCATGCCCACAGTCTATCTAAACCTCGATGCTTGACATCGGGCCTGCATCTGCCAGCTGCCAGCTGCCAGACCTCGGTTCCCTGCCCGAGCCGGGGTTTTCTCGGCGCTTTGGGCCACAAAATTACAAGTACTTCTCTGTAGCATCAGAGGAGGACAGAACGAGGAGTGGGCACTAGGCACCATGAAACGAAACACACCTAAATGATCTACATCGGTTGTGAGGGAATAAAATCTCTTCAATCTTACCTACACCTACAATATGGGCTATATAGATAGGTACCTACAGGTATGCCCAGGTGGTACCGGAATAGATACCCAGTTTGACATCTACCGAAGTACCTACCATGGTAGTCAAATGTACATGTACACATACTCCTACGCTGAACAGATTTCCTTTTGGCCACTGGCATCAAGATCAAAGGGCCGTCGATGTAAGGTTTCTGGACACTTGGAAACCAAGTCCAAACAAATAACCCCACAGGCCGCATCCAGACCATTATCACTGGGGTTCGTCCACCAGTGTAGGCACTACTAAGAATAGCAAAACTCAGATATCCCTCACTTTTCCACTTATGAGACAATCATCGTTTTGTCTCTATGTATTCCCCTTCGCCTCTGTCATCATTATCATCGAGATTTCGGGCCGGATCAATCTCATCTTCGTTGCAGTGGAACAAGTGGAACCATCGTTTCATGCCCACCCTCACTTTTCCACTTATGAGACAATCATCGTTTTGTCTCTATGTATTCCCCTTCGCCTCTGTCATCATTATCATCGAGATTTCGGGCCGGATCAATCTCATCTTCGTTGCAGTGGAACAAGTGGAACCATCGTTTCATGCCCATCAGACCTTGATTCGTCCAACTCAAGTAAGGATTGTCTACAATTTCGATCTGGGCTACATCATTCTACATAGGCGGCTCTAGATCGATCCAGATCATTTCAGATCCGGGTGCTTAAAATGGTAAAATGGGTGGATTTGGATGAATGGCTACGGTAAATACCATCACGGCGTGAAGCGTATTAGATAGAACGTTGCTAGTAAACCTAACCTCTTGACAGTCCGTTCACCTAACGATAGTCCATAGTAGAAGGTAAGTTTACTACTAGTATTGTAGTACAAAATTACCCTGCCAAGATTGGCGAAGCTCATAGAATTTTCTATCCATGCATGGATCGCCTTGATTTCCAATTTTCCCAAGCAGCCTGAGGTTTACCCGGCAAGGACAGAGCCAGGGTTCACCTGGCTTGAGTAGTTTGTAGGGGCTCACTCCAGGTGCGATCCTTAGGGCTCGCAGGTTACAGCATTCTAGTAGATTATGACAACCTTAGAAGTGAGCTAAGAGGAATTCGGGGGGGGTTTTTTTTTGGCCTGAAATGGTACATTGCACTCGATACATAAGACTCGGGTACTACTAGGTATAGTATGTAATAGGGTGAGGTATAGAAAGGGAATTATATAATGGTTGACAAATTGTGTAGGTGGGGATTAGGAATTAACCCATTAAACCAAGTGGAAATCAAAAGCAAAATCCGCTCATGCACTTATGAGTGCTCATGATCGGACTCAAGCTTCTCCTTGCATTTGGTCGCCTGGTCCTTTCGTACGTATGTCTCGCGCACCTTGTCACCCTCATTGCGGAGAATCACCCAGTCGCCCATGCCGTGCTCCTCAGGTGCAAAACGCACACCGCGGCCACCGCCACCAACAATCACGTTGCCAGGACGGTACTGGGGGTTATGTTGCATGCGACGAATTGCGGAAACGTGAATCTCCGCGTCGAGCGGGACATCACGGACCTCACCACGAGGTAGCGGCCAGCAAATCGGCTTCCAGGATCCGTCAGGCTGAAGATCCATACGGCGGAATGGCAGCCATTCCATGATGCGCCAAGAGAGAACCGACATGGGTGGAAGACCTTGGTTGAATTCCAGACAGTCGTGGATAAGACCCGCAGTGCTGGAAGTGTGCAGGGCATTCCAGAAGTCGCGGCT